TATTATTGTCGACGACGTTGCTTAATTAAAGGCAAACACAAATATCGCTAACACGCCACGATGCTGAAATAACGGAGACCGCGAGGGGAGAAAAAAAAAGACAAAAAGATAAAGTTTGAGTAATCCTCGAAGAAGAGATAAGAAAGCTAAATCGCAAAAGCCTCGTTGAGCGCGGCAGGAGACAGGAGTAAGAGTAATGTCGTGGTCCCCACGACGATGCACGTAGCAAGTCTCTTTTTCTCTCTTCCTCGTCCCCCCCCCTCCCCTCTCCCTTTCTTTCTCTCTCTCTTCTCGTCGTGAGTACGCACATTCGTTTATTTTAGCGTACGAACGTAACGATAACGATGCGTGCGAGCATTACGTAGACCCCGTTACACGATTCGCAAGATTTCGCGTGTGCGCGCGCGCGCACGCACTATGCGCGCACGCACGTACGCACCTTACGTACCGCCGACACGCAATCCGCCACGAGTGCAATGTACGTGAACGTACGGAGAACTATAAATACGGAGAGTTCACTCTATGTGGGAGAGTATGTCCCAGCTTGTTTTCTTTTATTCCCTTTTCGATTTTTTTTTCCTTTTTCTTTTGTTTTCGTTCCTTCGCCTCTAAACGCGCAGATGCCATTCCTCACGCGGGACGAAGAGGAACAGAGGGGGAACGGCAAACGGAAGGAGGGATAGAGAGGGGGGGGGGGGGAGGGGAAGAAAGGGACAACACGTGAACACACGAGGAGGTACTTAACTAACTTCACTCTCACTCGCGCGCACGTTGCCACGCTATGTCGCTATCACCGGCGACGGCGCGAAAGGGATAAACAAAAGAGTGAGAGATGCTCGACGTGCGGAGCAGAAATGTATGCTCGCGCGGGTATTTACAAGACAAAACGAAGACCTCGTCGCACCACGTGATTAATTTACATAAGCACCTCCGTGGTATATATATATACTTGTATACATAAGAACTTTGACCGATAAAACGTTCGGCTCGAGCGTTATCCAGAAAAAAATAATAGCTCGCGCATCCGAACACATCTCCGCTATAACCTAACTATTAAAACGTTGCGTGACACACACACACACACATCATTTTCTCTCTCTCTCGCTCGCTCGCTCGCTCGTATGTGTTACGACGTGGCCTTAAAGGCCGCCGCACACAGATTCAGCAGTAAGCATACTTCGTTGAGACTGAGAGAGAAAACTTAGCGTGTGAAAATACGGGTTAATTTATATCGACGATTCTTTAAACTGGTTACCGCTTGCGACGCCATATATGTATATTTTAACCTATACACATAAATGTATAGCACACTCCAGCATGATATGTGAGCATATTTTTGATGTGTCAAACAGCAAATAAGTTAATTGCATGTAAATGTATACGTAAACACATTCCAAATAATACAAAGTCTAAATTTAGAAATAAGACGTGTTTGCATCGTCTTTTAGATGCAAAAAACATCTTATCTGATTTTGGACACTTCTTGTTTGAGATAAGCATGACACTCCGAGTGTTCCAAACGGAAGAAACGGTGCATAAGTTAGAATTATCATTTCAGGTATCCCACAGGTATTCCGTTATCAGTAGTGGAGTATACATGCTGGGTCATACCTTAACTGCTTTAACATTGAATTTATGCGCGTATCAGGGCATATCGCAAACATCTCCCATGTATATATGCATCTTGATAAACACTCAAGTCCTAAAGCATTAAACGATTCCGTTAGGCCGGAATCAGACTACGAATTGAGATTGAAGATTGAAAGATTGAAGTCAGATCAATCAGAAAGAGTCAAAACTTCTTTATCCTCATTGATGAAATTTCAACCTTTAATCTTTAATCTCATTCTTCAATACGTAATTTGATTTCAGCCTTAAGCACATCGTCTAATATGTCAAATTGCGTGTGCCATAGCTTGAAGTCGTCATCCTTCGCCGCGTACAATCATAATTCGCATACATTCACGCCGGTTCGTCCGTGTGCGCCTGTTCTATGCGCTATCTTCACTCGGAACCTACTTTTCGTTCTCTCGATGTATGCGTGTATATACGTGTGTTGCTTGACGACGCAAATGCGATACACTTACATATAATGCATATATATATATATATGTATATATATATATATATATAGGTGGGCACCATGTCGACAGCGCGCATGCGAGTTTCGACGGAATAAGTGGTTTACAATGCTCTACAGATCACATTTGTGCGTCTTATTTAGATATGGAAGGATCTGTGAAAAAGAGTCACGGCGGAAGAAAATCGAATCACTTTGTTACAACACCTTGCCTCAACGGTCGCCGAGAGGCAGATCTGAAATTTATTCTACAGGGCTTCTATTCTAGGCTAGCGATCCGTCCTCTTTTTTTGTTTCACGTGGAATTCACTGCGGGCCAGAAAGAGATAGACTGATATCAATGTAATTTTTAATCGGGCCAATAAAAATATCTCGTGCCAATGCGAAGTGCGAATAAACATACGAGTTATTTTCTCATTCATTGCTTATCGTATCTCAACTTCTACCGAAGTTATATCGGTCTCATTTTGCGATATACATATATAGGCAGGGAGAGCGGGAAGGGGAGGTAGAAAGATTGAGTTAACTAGGACTAGCGTTGATCAACGCTTGGCTTGGCGTGCGACCGAGTCGAGTCGAGTCAGAGAGAAACAATATATCTATATTGATGATAGTACCATCGAAATGGTCCCCCGAGATCGCGGGAAGATCTACTATCATGTCCCCACGTTATCGCGTCATACGCTATGACGAACCTAGTTTAAGGCTCTGTGCACAATAGAGGAAATATTAGGAATACGAATAAGTATTAACATTCCAGCCTATCAGGAATCATGTATTCCGGTGTAACCAGTTTCTTATAGGTTGAAATCTTAATATATTACTCCTCCGTTGTAATATTTCCTCCATTGTGTGCAGCCCCTAATGTTTCCCGGGTCTCTCGCACTGCCATGACAACGGCCTCCATTCTATAATATTCTGTAACGTCTGTAACTCTTTAACGACAGTGTCGTTACCGTTACGCCAGATTTCATGCATAAAATAAAAACCTAAAAACGCTGCGCAATAACAGTGTAACGAGATATAATACCGACGCTATACAATTAAGATGAGTTATATAAAATAGGGGCCAAACAAGAGCCTTGATAGAAAATTCTCCAGGCGCGAATCGATTCACATGTGATGGCATACACGACACGCACCGGGCAGCGCTTAGAAAGAATCTCGCAATGGTCCACGCAGCTGAGGAGGTTCGCGTGCAAGTCGCGCCGATATTCGAAAGTCTTTGATTTTTGACGATCGTCGGGTCTCACATGACAATAGTTGATATTTATATGCGCGCACAAATGTGCGATTTTCAGGTATTTTCGTGCGTTTCGTAAAGATCATATGGCACATAAAAAGACTGGGTTGCGTCCCGTTTCAAACATATGTAAACATGCGCACGATGTATTTTTATCTTTCTTTAATATTTGATGAACAAGGATAAAATGATGCATCATGCGCACCTTTAAGCAATAAGACCCGGTAGAATCGATGTTACTTTGACTTAAGCAAGACTTCAAACTCTCTGTCTCATTTTAAAGCGAAAGAGAGACAGAGACAGAGAGATTTTAAGCTTTGCTTAAAGTCAAAGTAACGTTGGTGTAATCAGATCTAAGTAGTGCAAATTGTTCGCAATCACGGTAAGCTGTAGCAAATACAAAATATCGATTTGTTTACTGCTTGTCCCTCATAGAATATCAATACTGGCCAATTATTCACTTATTTTGAGCATTAAAAGTATTGTTAGCAGTACTTAAATTTCTATAAAGGATGTCTTCCTGCTTATAAGATTTTTTGTTTGTCATACAGCAGTTACACGCCAGCTTTGTAAAGTATATTCTAAAATTGCGTAAATGCGTATAATTGTAGGTCGTTGTAGTCGTAAAAATTGATCAATCACTGTATTCTCCTCAAATTCGAGTGTGGTTGATTGATTTTTACAACCACTTACGCTCACGTAATTATAGAATAGACTTTATATATACACGCATACAAATGCAACAACCGCATGGTAGCCTGCGGTCTTTTGTAGCTGTGTATACTCGGTGTACTAAGCTTAGAGACCCCATGATCAGAAGATGACTGGAACAGTCGGCTCCCCACTAGGAATACGATCCGTTCGTCGTGGCTATGTCGTGCCCCTCTACAAGTTTGTACTTCTCTTACGCTTAAAACGAAGTAAATAGTTGGACGTCAGGGAAAGGGGGATAGAATGGGAGAGACGAGAGCGGAAAGCTCGGTTACAAAGAGCCATAAGCCTTCCGTATTGGTCTTCCGTTATCAAGCAGACTCTGAAACCAGCGGTCGATCGCGTCTTCGCGACAAAACTCGTGTTTACCATCTCTCTATGTGATTTCATACATGTATATTTGAAAAAAATGTTCGACTCGTTTCCGAAGACGTTTGACCGTTTCTAACCACAGTAGTTCTTCACACTTGTTTTGTTCCCTCTTCCCCTCTTCTCTTTAAACGAAGTAGGAGATATCTTGTTTCTACTTGAATTTTTTTAATGTAAGAAGATATAAAAAGTACAGTTAAAATTTGTTTAATTCGTTTCTCACTGCACTGGATTGCCCAGATCTATTTTTCTAAATATCAAATATGTATATCTTTCGCTAAATATCAAATATATACGTCTTTCACTTGTATAAAGAGTGTATATATTTATAGTTGTAAAAACAAAAGTCGTGCTCTGACTACACTTTACATATTCAGAATGCAATAATTGTATATTCTGCTTTGATAACGAAAAAAACGGACGAAAAGCATAAAAATATAATTAAAAGGAAAAAATATATATTCAAAAATTTGCGAATGTGTAATAATTGTACATAATGTGTATGTACAAACGATAATATGTACGAATGATAATATAGGATAATGATTTTATCACGAATAATGAACAGTGTTCAAAAACAGCATAGATGGAGCAATCGTAGCTGGTTATGTGATCATGCTAAAATTATTTCTTTCCAGTATATGTACAAAATTGCGTCTGTTGTTTTGAAACTGAATAAAATGGTAAGAATAGAATTTGTTTAAAAAGTGTGTAATGCTGTAAAGATCGTATTTTTTACGTTAAGAGAACGTAAATTGTATATTAATGTCGAAACCTTCGAGAAATGTGCATGTAAATAAATGCAGTGCCAAAGTTATTTCAGAAATATTTCGTCACTTTTTCGTCATCTTTTTATAAATATATAATATTATTATCATAAAATGATGAGAATTTCGCAGAGTATAAGTTCATATAAGACATTCAGTGCTATAATTAAGTAATATATAAGATTGTGATATAGGTTAAGTTTCCTCGATAATACTGTTCGTCTCTTTCAGTCTTTTTATGACATATATCTACTTTCGCTTTTGGCAAGGCATATTATATTTAGAATGCTGAGTTTAAAATGTTTGACAAAACCAAGAAATTGTTTCCCAGAGCACAATTGTGGCAGCAGGTGTTGGCCTGGCGGCTGTTGGGTTTGCCGGTCGTTATTTGCTTAGGAGAATGCCGAATTTATCACAGAGGATGGCAGAAACCATGAAAAAGCTAGATTCCCAGGTAAAAATTACTACTCTATTTTTTCCTTAGCAGCTTTCTTATAATTGCAAAAGACATGCAAATAAATGTATACTGATCTTTCTTAATATTTGTAGTCACTAGCGAATAGCAAATATTACAAAGGTGGTTTTGAGCAGAGGATGACCAGGCGGGAAGCCAGTTTGATCTTGGGTGTGTCACCTACAGCTAATAAAAGCAAAGTAAAGGAACAATTTAAAAAAGTAATGGCTGTGAATCATCCAGATCGTGGTGGTTCTCCATATATCGCCGCAAAAATTAACGAGGCAAAGGATTTACTTGAGAAATAATGAAAATATAGCATAATGTAATATATATATATATATATATATATATATATATATATATATATATAATGTATATCAAAAAAATATATTTATGTAGATAGATTTTTGATGTACATAGTTTTAATTTAACTTTACGTATTATTTACTATTATAATATATTTTTGGAGCTGTATATTTTAGAACGATTAATCTTTTTTTAATACCTTCATCAGCTAGTTCTAAGTTCTCAAGAAAGTTTATGCATAAATAGAAACTGCATATAAATTCAGAGTCAATTAGAATAAAATATTATGAGGACAACTATTTTTCATCAGATATTTCGTCAATATTTCCATATTGTTACTTCCACAAAATATCACAATTATGCAACTTTCATTATAGATTATAATACTTCACATTCTAATATTTTTACTAAAATATTGTGTACATAATAATAAAACTAAGATAAATTAAAAATAATTGAGTAAATGTATCATACATTGCTAAATGAACATTATATGTACAAAATAAAATTATGCAGTAACAATATAATACAGCATTATATGCATTCATTTTGCAAATGATGCATAACGAATAACAACAGACTAGAATATTTCGGTGTATGTGACAAAAATTGGTCATTAATACTATCGTTCTAACTTATCTTGTTTTCGTTTTATGCGTTGTTGCATGTGCTTTGTTCTTAGTTTTGCTATCGTGTTTCCAGGCAGTGATCCAGGTACTTTAAAAATACTCTGTAAAACAGAAAAATGTCTCCATAAATATCTAATGTTCTTCTCTATTTGATGTATGAACTACACGTAATATACAACTACATACTTGCATAAACTCGTGACATCGTAAAACAATACTATCTTTCGTAATTTCCTTAAAACACTCAGCCAGCGTTGTAAAATCTTGACAAGCTAATAGATTAGATTTATTCCTTTTTATAAGTGTCAATGCGACACGGAAGATAATCTTGGTACCTTCGTAAAAAAGACAATCCCAAATACGCAGAGTAGTCTGTGAATTTAAAATTACCTTCAATTTTTTGGAGTCAAAATATTGAAAGCTTTTATAAGCAAAATAAGTGATGATACATATTTAGATAATTATTATATAATATAAAAAATTATTCAATGTTTCGATAATTATGACATACCTCTATAGGTAAAACTTCAGCAAACAAACACACAAACCATTTAGTCGTAATTACTGGCCAAGGCAGCCCTACGTTTGTTACATGCTGATATACATCAGGCATTTTTATTCTGTAAAAATAACGTGTACATTGATAAATATTGCTGATGAGTAAAACTACAGTAAATTTTCTTTTACCTTACTAATTCTGCGAGCACATCGATATCAGTGAGTAGGCCATCCATAGTACATGTATAATAATCTGGTAGAATTTTATCAATCAATACTTTTAATAACCAAAATGCTGTTTCTTCGCTTTTTGTTACAAGCAAAAGTAAACCCGCTATGTAGTTTAAACCCTGAAAAAAATATTAAAACATTTTTTAATAAGGCACAGTAAACATCTTTTGAAACTTTCTCATAAAATCTTACTCTTCATGAAATTTTTTATTAAAATTTTGTTATTTTATTCATATATTCGGAAATATGCACTGTAGATGTTACCTGGCAATATCCAACAGTTTTGTTTTGATGAGCAAAAGCTAATAAAACATTGTATAATTGATGCTGCTGATTCTCTGTATTATTAAAGAATATATTGTCTGGAAATGTTCTTGGAAGATCAGTTTTAATAATCTCAGCGGTTTCTGCATTATGAGGAGATAATAGTAACTTTTGATAAAGATCTGGCGACGCATTCTTCATGTCTTCACCACCGCTTACAGCGAGCCACACCTACAACGATTCAATATTTTTCTGTATTATATATGAAAAATATAATGAATTGGATTTTGACTTATGAATATTACCAATCCTCTATGTTCCCCTGGAATGCCTTTACGAACGTATTTCTTGATCGTAATGCTTCGTAGGGACTTTCCCTCACCGATAATTTTCGCCCACTTTTTGGCCATCTTTGCGAGTATCTTAAGGTACTCGGACATAAAATCTTCGTATGTTTCATAATCGAAGTCGTGTGGTCGTTCGAAACCATATTCGTCCACATCACTGGAAACAAATATATAAATATATAATTATTATATCATACAATATCTATTATATGTAGATTGTATTCAGATATAAACTGCCAGTACTGAAAATCTATAATATACATAAAATGAACTCAAAAAGTGATCCTAGTAGATATACATATAAATAGTTTATGGATGTCAATGCAACTAAATTTCTTGCACATTCATCTTTTTTTCTTTTTTTCTCCACAACTGAAAAAAAAAGAAGAAAGATAAATCACACAAGTTCAGCTGAAAAGAACAGGATACAGTGGACAAAAATGTCATTTTGTTCTTCTTAACAATTAATGACTAACAAATATAAAACTGTATTTATCGTTATCAATTGTGACTCCTAAAGTTTTATCTACAATGTGTTTTTTGTTTTTTATCGCATGCCTTTTTGCCTCTTTGAGACCATTTTATTAAAAATTATGTTTCTTTTCATGTCTATTCTTGTCTCTTCCGAAGTTTTTATCTTGGATGATAGAAAATGAGTGAGGCAAAAGGCAAGAAGTAAAAGAAACAAAGAGCACATTATATAAGATTAAGCTTAAAAAGAAAATAGCTTTAGTAACACAAGTTGATACAAACATCATTAGGGATGCTTTCCATTTAATAACACAAATAAATACAAATATTATTATATATATGTAAATTAACTTTAATCTCGGTTCAACTTACTCTTCGTCTTTTTCTAATCTTTAGAATTAGAGTTAATCTATCTTGCTAGAAACGGGCATAAATGATTCTGTCCTTCTTTGCATTTGATAAGTAACAAAAAAAAAACGATATTTATGTCAACTTTGTGTCATCAAATGGAAAGCACTTTATGTCTTATAATACAAAATAAGTTATTGCTATGTTGATTACCAAGTAAATATTATATCATATACTTTCATACCACTTTCATTACAGTACGAATGATTCGCGAATTAATACATAATTGTAGTGATAATAAAAAAAAAGAAAAAAAACAAGTTTTGACAAATGAACGAAAGCAGAAGGGAGTCTCGTTTTCAAAGTGGTTTGAGGGGCGGAAACATAACCTCGACGAGACAAAAATAAAAGTAAAATAAACGCGAAATTTGCGAATCGACGAGAGTCAGTCGTATTCACGGTATGCAGGGTGAACGCATGATTTGTTTCACAGGAGGAAAAACAACTGTTACAATTACCTGAAGCATGAACTTGCCATGCCCTATGCAATTCGGTGGGTGTCGAGGAGATCTACGATCGCGCGCGCGTGCAACTACGTCCATAGATATTTCGTGTACGAAACGCCCACGGTTTCACCTTTCGGCGCGATAACACCCGATCGCGCTCGAATTGTTCGAAAATGTTTCGAAACGCCTGAAGGAAAGAGCACTGCTGAGCACAGCGTGGAGCTCTCAGCTGCTCTCAGTTCAGTCGCGGCGTGCGTCTCTTTTCTTCATCACGAATGATCCATTTGAGCATCTGACTCTGACTGCTGCTGACTGCGCCCGATTCCCGAATGATAGAATGGAAAGGCGGTTCGTATGTAGAGAGGGTAGAGTTGCGAAAGACCGTCGAATTATGAAAAGGTCATTTTCCATCAAGACGCATGGTTGCCAAAAAAATACTTGCGTGGAATATCTCGCGATTTTAGACTCCTCCAAGTATAGATCCGACCACTCGCCTCCGTAAATTACGGATGATTTATCGGTGCATATTGTATACATTTCGTTATTCCGCAGTGATTCGAAAAGAATGACTCGATCGATTGATCGCGCGCGAGATCGAGTTCGAGATCGATTGTACACTCGATACACTCGACGTTATAAACGTTCATATATCTGGTTGTGGGTTGTATTGCTTGAAATTTCTTAAAATTTTTTGCAATTAAAATAAAATAAATATATTTTGACGTTGAAAAGAGAGGGAGAGAAAGCGAAGATTCTAAGTGCAAATAACAGATCTTAGGAGTTTTCCAAGGAGACACAAGTGACGTTATATCTTTACTAAGTGAATGAAGAAAAACAGAATGAATGCTTATGTCGATTTGTGTCACCAAATGAAAAGCATCCAATAATTCTTATGTAAGATGACCGTCTCAAATTTTAACTCTTCGTTCCACTTTACAATACGTCTCAAATTTTGTTTCAAACTGAAGACATGATCATGAATTAAAAAAATCTCTTTTTTAAGCGTACAAAATAATAAATGTAATTGTCAACTAACTGAAGAATTTTATGATTTTTTTATGTAAAAACATTCAGTACAAAAAGTATAATTTAAGAAAATAAAATGTAATCTCGTAATAATAATTTTTGTTGTAATATCTCATATATATGTAACACTTCGACATTAAGTGTTATTAATTATTTACAAATATAATAATAATATTATTTAAGTGTTTCATTAACAATTATAATAAATATTTATTTCTTAAAATTTAATTACGACAATCAATATTGAATATTTATATCAATATTTATTTAATGTTTCCTCCTTTTCTCTTCTTAATGAATTCATCACCTTACTTTTGTGGCCCCTGTCAATATATATGATGAAAATCTAATTTTGCTGAAAAGTTTCCCTCAGTTTCCTTTGTAAAATAAATGATGCAAAAATATATGTACATCCGACATCGTAATATACGTATAGATTCGTTCATTGCATGCAGTTGCATGCTCCAACATGCTTTTACTATTCCTACTCATGTTAGAGTGAGTAGGAGCTATGATAAGAATATATTGGAGTATGTTGGAACATGCGATGCGACAAACCTTATTAATAAGGTGTTTACACATCTGAAGTTAGGTCAGTTTTAATTGTCGAACTTATGCCCGTTTCCATCAATGTAGATTAACTTTAATCTCGGTTCAACTTACTTTTCATCTTTTTCTAGTTCTAAAGATTAAAGTTAATCTACATTGGTGGAAATGGGCATTAATCGATTCCCAGCAATCTCGGCACGTCGCGCGGAGCGCTCAAGCCGGAACCCGGAACTGCCGGAAGAGAGCCTGACTTCAGACAGTTCAGACAGAACAGAACACGAAACGGTACAAATCTTGCCCGTTGTGTGGTGGTTGTGCGCAGCACCACATGGTGACGGTGGTAAAATGGCTTCGCTCGTTCCCTGCGTCGCTGGTAAGCATTTCTTTCAGGTATTCCCGTAGATTCACGAGACTGTCGATTGTCAAGTCGCAACCTGATCGCCAGAGAGACTTTGCTTCCAAGGAAACCGCATACGCGAATGTCCGATGGCATTCCGAGTGTGCCCGTTGCACACCGTACCCGCGATGAATGTGCACGTGTCTGTCTCCGGTGTTTTATGGCATCGAATGATTCGAGATCGCCTCGAGATTATTCGCAGTGACAGCGGTGTTCGACACGTCGCAAGTCGCAGGCACGGCCTGAAACGAATTTACCGCGAGATTCTATATCTCTAACCTCCAACTATTGTGACGTGTACGCTCTCAAACGTCACAGCTGACGCGATATTTGTGAAAGCAGTAATATTGAAAAAAAAAAAAATGAAATTACAATTTACACATTCACCTTGACGTGTCCCTCAGAAACAGAGATTATTCGTCATTTAAACGACGTTCTTATTCCATTTAATAGATAAATGTATAGGATATATTAACATAATACAAGCATGTAATAAGCATGTATTTTTTGTTATTAGATGTAAAAAAAAGTACTAATGTATTTTACAGTAAGAGGGTCCAATGGTATAAATTTAGCATATGGTCCACCGTCCTATGAACCTGTCAAAACATTTCCTAAAGATGACAACAAAAACTGCAAGACCATGCTCTTCAGTCCAGATGGTCAATATTTTGCATGGTCTAATGCCTCTAAAGTTAAAATCGTGCTGTGCAAGACGTGGCAGATTGTCGCAGAAATCCAACGACCCAAAATCTGTTCTCTTAAATTCTCTAGTTATAGCACTTATCTTGCAACTTGGGAACCATCCTTTGGTAATTAACACAAAATTATATCGAGTGTAAGCAGGCTTGCATTAATTTTATAATGTCTGTTAATTAGAAACATTGTGATATAATTTTAGTAACAAAAGAAGAGCCTCAGGGATCACAAAATTTTCACATATGGAAGTCTGAAACAGGTGAACATGTTCAACATCTTATCCAGAAGAGAATGGGGGATTGGTAATGTATTGCACTGATTATTCTGACTCTCCTTTTGATTAATCAATTTAAAATTAACCTTTCTGATCATTAAAATCTCTGATTGACAATTATAGAGTAAAGATAAAAATAGTAATGGAACAGTTAATTTTATGTTGCAACTAATACTTTTATTAAATATATATGTGATGCATCGAAATAATTATTCATTTAATGAAAAAATAGGGAGCCACAGTGGTCAAGTGACGAAACATTCTATGGAATATTAAAAGGAGGAAATGTTCTTTTATATGAAAATAACAACTTTGATAGATATGTACACAAAATAGGTAAAGGCAATATTGCCAAATTTAGTATAGCACCTGGTAATGCTCCCTACCATATCCTTTGTTATATGCCAGGTAATTATGTCTATTTTTTTAATACTATAATTTTAAAATGTACAATTATAGAAATTATTAATTGCAATATGATGAGATACTGAAATGTGGAGATTGTACACCTTAAAGATATTTGACACAATAGTAAAATTATATATAAAAAGTGTTTGATATATATAATACTTTATAAGAATTTTATAATAAAATATGTATAGTTACAAATATTTAAAAAATTAAAAAATAATTTATTGTAAAGTACTTGTATAATAATTGAACTAATATTTATTAAGTTTATTATTGTTTGAAAGATAATATGTAACTGCTGAATTAAATAATTTAGAAGTAATACATTGCATTGACTATGTCATAGTTTATATAATATTTTTTTATTTCAGTTTTACTTATGTATATACATATATCATTTAAATATAATATAAATGATGGCCTGAAGATCTAAAATATAAAATTTGAAGTAGATATTTAATCACATATAAAAAGAAACATTCAATAGAAAAGCACATATTGACATTTTCCAAAAATATAATGTATAATGAAATAGGATTTACAATAGAAAATTTTCCTGATTATTGTTTAGCATATAATTTATACGTGTAAGTACTCTTCTTTCGGAAAAATTATATTGTTAACCTACAAAAATTTCACAACGTAGTTCTCATAAATATCTGTCACTGAATTAAGTATCAAATTTTATGCATCTGTACACAATGAATATCAATTAACTATTAATAGCAAAACGCAATTATAAAGTATGTTACACTAAAATTATTTTAATGACTAAATTGAATTTAAAATATTTGCACGTTATTGCAGCACTCTCCACATTTAATATCTCCTATAATAATTAATGATTTATATTTATTTATATATTATCTGAACTATTTAATGTGCATTTTTTCAATAAAAAATTTGTTTATATATAATTTAGGAAGTTCTGGTCAACCTTCCTTTGGAAGGTTATTTAAATATCCAAAGTTTGAAATTGGAGAAGCGATCGCAAGCAAAAGCTTTTTCCAAGTAAATTTTGAACATTTTCTAAACATTAAGTATATTAGTATGTTTCTTGTATTTTGATTTATTATTATTATTTTTTAGGCAGATAAAGTCGATATGTATTGGAATCAATGTGGAACAAATGTTTTATTGATGACAAACACAGAAGTTGATAAGACCGGTGCATCATATTATGGAAAACAGACATTGCATCATCTCAATGTAAAAGGGGAGACTGCTATGGTTATGCTCAGTAAGTCTATATTAAAATACTGTTGTTTTCAATTAGTATTGAAAATTTAAAATAAATGAAATTAATTTTAAAATAATATTGTAACATACAGAAATTCTTCTGATTAGGTAAAGAAGGTCCTATACATGCAGTAGAATGGTCTCCCAGAAACACAGAATTCTGTGTGATATATGGCTTTATGCCTTCTAAAACAACGTTATTTAATTGTAAATGTGAAGCTGTCTTTGAGTTTGGCATGTTGTATAGAAATAGTATATATTATAATCCACATGGCAACAATATCCTTTTACTATTTTATTACGAATTAATGAATGTACATGTTATTGATAACTGGATAACACTAAATAGTTGTTAATTATAGACAGTAGAAAGTCTCTCTCTTATAGTAGAAAGTAATTGTATATATTGAAAAAGGTAAATTATTTATTTATGCATTAATTTCCTTGACTACTGTGTACTATTGCTTTTGGCTGGATTTGGTAATCTTAGGAGCGGCATCGAATTATGGGATGTCATTAACAGAAAACTCATTGCTAAAACTGATGCACCAGATACTACACTGCTGCGGTGGTCACCAGATGGAGAACATTTCATGACTGCAACTACAGCACCTAGATTACGAATTACCAATGGGTAAATAAATATATACTAAAAGAAATTGTGCTAAATTAAAAATATATTTATCTCTGTTGCAAAATTAATATGTGTATTAAATTATTATATAGATTTAAAATTTGGCATTATACCGGCTCACTGATATACCAACGACCATGGAATAACCAAGAAGAACTTTGGGAAGTAGCATGGCAAAGTTTCCCTTCGAATGTTTTCCCACAAAAACCTATTAGTTATAAAGCAGTTGAGGGAATTGTCACTAATGATAATCAGTCGCAAGGTAATAATCATATTATGATGATTTTAGAATATGTTTCTAAACATATTTTCAAAATACATATAGCAAATGTATTTGTGTATATATTTCTAGCACCAAAAGAAGCATACAGACCACCATGTGCCAGAGGACAAAATATTACATTTAAGTTACATGATGATCTTGAGGTGCCTTCTAAATCAAGTGAATGTAAATATATAAATATATATGAAAAAAATATTTTATTGTAATTCTATTTCAATTTGTTAATTCTATTTTGTTGTTCATTTATTTATAGCAAATCCATCAAAAGCTGCATTAAAAATGAAGAAGAACCGGGAAGCAAAAAAAGCTAAAAAAGAATTAGAGTCTAACAATCCAACTGAGCATGTTTCAAATACAACAACGAGCATAAAAATAGAACTAACTGACGATCCTGAAAAAAATAAAAAAATAAAGAAAATAACGAGTGTAAGTATATTATTCGAATATCTAATATGATGTCTTTTTCTTCCATTATTTTCGTATATTATTATTAAGAATTAACAATTTCAATTTGTGTCACAGAAATTAGATCAAATTTCGAAATTGAAAGAACAGTTGAAAGCAGGAAAACAATTAGAAATTAATCAATTAGACAAGATTAAAAAGGAAGATGAATTGCTAAAAGAACTTGAAGAGCTAACTTTATGATAAATCATCCAAATATTAAACAGAATAACTTGATAAATAGACAAAGCTATGACAAAGTGGCTTTTTTTTAAATAAAATGATTGCAAGAGACACTTGTGGGTGAAAAACAAATTGTTCACCTTTACAACTTGAAAAAAACAGCGAGATTATAATATGAGAAATTTTGGATACAATCAAATCTGAAAATATCTCCTCTCTTCTCTCATCAGTTACGAATCGATACTGAATGCATGTAAAAAGTTCCGTTTTGACTGAATCCAAGAATTGTGTTCGTACACATAAATAATAACAGACATTTATATTAGTTTTAATCAACAAAGAATTCTGCTAATAGTATCGTATTTAGTATTAGTGGAGGACTACTTATGTATTTCTCCTGAATTTTGTTACTAATATACATTGAGAGATGATGATAGAGATAGCATTGCAGTGTTTATTACCAATCTTAACTAAAAATCTTAAAATCTTAAATTATTGTGTGCATTTCAATAATCATTACTAAATTAACGAAAGCTGCTTATTGACTCTAGCTAAAAGCTTATTATTATGATTAAAAATTTATTGGAATTCTCAAATGCGTTTCCGACAATATGAAAATATATTACTGTTCTTATAATCTGTTCACACTGTTTTATCTTCTTTTGTACGAAAAAATATTTTTTAATATTTGAAGTCTATGTAACAAATATTTATAGTGCAGTAGATTTTGCATTTAAATATCTTGTTCTGCGCATTTACAAAAATATTATCTGGTGTAGTCTTTTGCAATCGAAAATTATGATATTCAGATAAAGATATTGATTATCAATTTCTGAAAAGGAAACTTTTTGTATACTTAAAATTTGTATACATTTTTTCACTTATATTATTATTTTGATTATGTTCTAAGTTTTGTTCTTTCTTATATACGATATTTTTAGATGAAAATTTGCAATTTTTTTTGTATTATATTAGGGTATACATTTTTTTTGTAGTTTTCAACATGGACATAAGTATAATTAGCGTAATTGTGTAATTATTAAGTATAAATAAAACATTGAAACATTTTTCCAAAATCTATTCAACTGAATAAACTGCACTTAAAGAATATATAAGAACAACGTATTAATAAGGAACTAATCTGATATATACAAGAATATATATAGTAATTACAAATGTTATGTACAGTCAGATGACATTTATGAAAATAAATTTCTAAAGAAGTTGTTGATTGGATATCAAATGAGATATGCCCTGTTCACCAAAATAAACTCGTAATTTATATTTCAAAAACTTATTTCACGAGAAAACGCGTAAAATTCAGTTATTTTTTTATGTAAAAATGTTAATGTTTATATTTGCGACAAGAATTAATTTTAATACAAAATAATAGCCTGAATGCGAAAAAATGTGATAGTAAATAATATAAAATAATAATTTAAATAACGAGAATATATCTTTGTTTACACGTTTTACATTTCTCTTTTATTTTATTGAGATATTGCTTCTTTCATTCCAAGTGCATAACATTATTAAAATTACAACAATAAGAATATATTATTTTTGCCTTATTTTCTACCTTGTAACAAAATGCGTAGCAAGAAGAAGAAACAGATAATAGGAGATTTGTTTTAGGGGACAACTTTAATAAAAATTTGATTAAATAATTGTTTATTTAATAATAAGATATAATTATAATATAATTGAAACAATAAAATTGATTGAACTTTTAACTAATTGACTTAATAGAAGTGCTTGAATTATTATAACCAAAGTACTTGTATTATTATAATTATAATTAATTATTATAATTATATTATTATATTTAATTATATTTAATTCAATTTTTTTTTCAAACTACGAACAATTAATAATTCTATTAACATTAGAAAAATATCGAGCAACTTAAACAATTAGAAATTTAGGATCACTTACGATTAACTTAATTAACTTATCGAGTAATGCTTATCCTGTTTTGTTAATATGAGTAGAATTAATTTTTTATTTGATAACAAGAAAAATTAGATTTGTCGGAAAATGACAATTTTTTTAAGCAATTCTATCTCGCGCAGAGTTAAGTTTAATTACCAATTAAGTTAATCGTAATCACTTTAGGGTTCATTTCTATCTAAAAATTCGGAGAAATTTTATATTAAAAATTCTAAGAAAAATTTTCACCAGAACATCATTTCGCGACTTCACGAAATAAGTTCGAGATCATTCAAGATCGAAGGAATCTGAAGCTTATTCTCGAAAAATATCACGTACAAAAATATATGAAAGTATTTTACGTTATATTATTATTATTATAGATTTCTCTAATATTTTTGGGAATATAGATTTTCTTTTTTTTTTAATATGTGCAATATTTTTCGAGAATAAAGCCCCTAGTGCGAATGGCGTCGATCAAACGTTCCCGCGCCATCGACGGCGACATTCAGCGACGTTCAGCGACAGGGGACCCAGGGCCAATCGCGGGCGTCGCTCGTCACCCCGTCGTGCACGCACGTCGTCTCGGGCGAGCACCGCAGCGCCGCGGCAGTCGTGTTTACAGATTTTGCGAGTTGAGTTCCGTAACGTCACGTCAAAAAAGTGCAACACACGAATTTCTACCACGTTTACTATGTAAAGGTGCGTTCCCCAGGGATTGAGATGCAACGCGTGGATCATCGGCGGTCCTGGATGTCCTTCCGCACGACATGACGCGGCTCGCGTGATCGCGGCCGGCTATCGGGCCAGAATATCGGCGCTTTTGTTAATACACGGCAGTGCCAATCGTTAGGATAGTCGCCATTTTGTCCGGAGTGGTAGCCCGGTCGAAGCGAACGGGGCGAAAATAGGCGCTGCCTGGACCGCGAGGATTATTGTAATCGCGTAGGTAGCGATCGCTGTCACCGTCGACCGTCGCCGATCGTCTGGAGTTCGCGGGGATCGGCGCGTCTCGATGGTGGTTCGAGGATTCACGGTCAGGCATCCCGACAAAGTCGCTCGCCAGTTGTCCGCCAGTCAAGCAGCGCTACACCGATTTCACGGCTCTCGACGGCGGCCGCGTCCGATTCCCCGGGGAAGACGCGTGCTCGCGACGCGCACCCCTCCTCGGACGAGGCCTCCGCCGACCGGCATGGCCGCTCCCTCCTCGGAGTATCCCAACGACGTTGACAGTTCGGCCGTACGTCAACGGGACGCGACGGCGACGACATCGGCGTTAACAACTACTCCAAGTTGTATTGCGTGTCTTGGAAGTTAACTGCTCGCAACCGCCGCTCCGCCTGTCCGCCTTTAATTTTCTATCCCGTCCGCGTGCCGTTGCGGCTCACGCCGTTCCGTTGAAGCGCCCGTAACATGCGTCGTTTCGCGTCGATGGAATCCCGCACGCATTTGCAGATGCATTCAATCTCGACCAGTCGAGATGCTCCACCCGTAGCTATGGAATCAAATCGCGTCGATTTATATGCTTAAGATCTTCTCGAAGATGATAATGATTACATTAGTCTTTGTCCTGCCGGTTATACATTGATTCGCGAGTTGTCACTCGTTGTGTCTTCCTCGAGAAAATAAACGCTTATATAACTGTGCCATCGCGATGCTGTGACAAATTTAAATTCTCGCGTGCTTGGATTGTAAATTGAATTTGATGATTGTCGTTGTTAGTTTGACTATGCTATTGAGGACAGTATAGTTAAATAACTTGACGACGCATCTGTTTAGTTGTGCTTTTTATCAGTGTCCGAAAACATGTTGTTAAAATTCCTTTCCTTTGTTACAGATAATGTAGGTATAGTTTATTAAAACAAGGCCTTTAGGATATAATTATATTTAATGTCAGTATATAAGCTGGATGCTTGTTATTGGTGGTGTAATCATTGGACCAAGAAATATTGAGACAATTAAGGCATAACAAAGAACGTGTAAAATGACGATTGCCACTAGGGGCCAGGGAGTTGGCATAGACCCTCCCGACAGCCAACAAAATACGCAGGTATATAGATTTGAGAGCCAACCAATGAAAGTAGCGTGAAACATATCTCGATTGTGATAAAGTGAAAATGGATTTTGAAAAAAAAAATCTCTACAGATGCACAGTCCACCAGGTCCACAGCAATTGGCTGACACAATGTCGGGACTCCAACTCACCGAGAATGTGGTACAAACAGAATGCAACAATGACGCTATCACTACAGTAGAAGATAGCAACCAGCTTCATGAAGAGCCTGAGTTTCCTATTTTCAAACTTAATATGCTTCATGAAAAGATTTCTAGTCCACGATGGGTTGTACCAGTTCTGCCCGAACAAGAATTAGAGTGCCTGTTACAAGCCAGTATCGAACTTTGTAAAAAAGGTTATGTATTGTTTATAAATTTTTGAGATTGATTATTTTCTCGCACACGCCAGGAAAATGATTTGACCTTTATGACAATGTGTTTCAACATTTTTGTATAGGAGCTTATTTTGTATTTATAAGGTGCATTAATTTTGTTTTTACTGTATTGCAGGAATTGATGTACAAAGTGAAGCGTGTCAGCGCTTTTTTCGAGAAGGTCTCACAATCTCATTTACCAAGATATTAACAGATGATGCGGTGAACAGTTGGAAATTAAATATTCATAATTGTATCAATACTAATTGTGCACGTTTGGTGGAACTATGTGTCCTTAAATTAGATGAGGACTGGTTTCCTCTACTTGATTTATTGGCCATGGTTTTTAATCCTAGTAATAAGTAAGTGAACATTGTTATTGTGAAATTATGTAAATACAAGTTTTCTATGTGATTGTTCTAAATTGTCCATTTGTTTCAGATTTCACACAGTAAATGCAATAAGAGTTTCGGAAACTGTTCCTCCTGGTAGTGATATTCCTGATGAGGAACTTTATGCTCGTCCACCATCTGACTCACGAGCTCCTCGTGGTTGGCTAGTAGATCTTATAAACAGGTATTTTTTAATCAAGTTTTGTATACATACAAAATGTTTTACTTCAACATAAATTTAACACAAACTTTTATTTCAGATTTGGGAGTCTCAATGGATTTGAAATTTTGCTTTCGAGATTTCAGAGTGGACGTAATTTAACAGTGCCAGTTATTTATGCTTTAATCAGACCGTTTGGCTTATGTTATGAACTGTTAACTGTTCACACAATAGTTAAATATCTGATGCCTATTGTTGTAAGTATAGTCTCAATTTATTATCATTGATTATTTATTTATTTTTATTTGAGAGTAAGCACATTGTTACAGGAAATGGTACCTCTTATTTTGAATAATTTAACTGATGACGAGTTGAAGAAAGAGGCAAAAAATGAATCAAAAAACGATGCAATATCAGCCATAATCAAAGCTGCTAAATGCTTGGTGTCGCGTGTGCCTCATCAGGAAGAAATGATAAAGAACTTGGAAATATTGAGACTGAAAATGATATTGAGACTCTTACAAATTTCTTCGTTTAATGGAAAGATGAATGCTTTAAATGAAGTTAATAAAGTAATATCTAGTGTTAGTTATCACCAACACCGCAACACAATAGCAGAGGAAGAGGAGTGGCTTACAGCAGAGCGTATGGCAGTAAGTCTTGTCCAAAAATTCATAACACTAACTGTACTAATAACACTGTTAATTTAATGACCTTTTAAAATATTTTAATTCAAGTATATATCATTAATTGCTCGAGTATTTTGCAAATATCATGAGTTTGATAATTATACTTTCCGTTTAGTGACATACTTGTCATTAAATAGAAAACGCCTTATATATATCATGAGTCCTTTGTAAAATAAGAAGTGCTTATATTTGTGATACAGAAATGGATTAAAGACAATGGAGTATTGGAAATCGTATTGAGGGATTCATTGCATCAGCCGCAATATGTAGAGAAACTGGAAAAAATTTTACGCTTTATTATAAAAGAACGTGCACTTACATTAGAAGATTTAGACGCTGTTTGGGCTGCACAAGCTGGTAAACACGAAGCAATTGTGAAGAATGTTCATGACTTGTTAGCCAAATTAGCTTGGGATTTTAGTCCTGAACAACTTGATCATCTATTTGAATGTTTTCAGGTATTTATCTCAATAGTATAATTGATATAAAATTTGTACTGATAGAATGTTTAAATTGATGAAATATGTTAATGTTTCAGACAAGTTGGAGAACTGCCAACAAGAAACAACGGGAAAAACTATTAGAATTGATCAGGAGACTTGCGGAAGATGATAAAGATGGTGTTATGGCGCATAAGGTTGGATTGTCTTAAGTATACATATTTGAATATAAATATATTTTAGACGTGCAGATAATTTTTTTTATTCTGCTATCAGGTATTAACACTCTTTTGGACTTTGGCACATTCTGATGAAGTCCCTACAGAGATCATGGATCAGGCACTGAACGCTCATGTAAAAATTCTCGATTACTCATGCTCGCAAGAGAGAGATGCGCAAAAGGCAATCTGGGTGGACAAGTGCGTTGAAGAATTGAAAAATGGTGATAAGTGGGCTCTTCCTGCATTGAAACAAATTCGAGAAATATGTTGCCTTTATGAACCAAATCCCAACCTAGGTCATAGTCAGCGTAGCCATCATATGCATTACAGGTACAATGGCACATTAATGGTACATTATATTAACGCACATATAAATAATACATTATTACATTACTTTTATTCTTTCTTATTACTATATAGACAAGAAGTAATAGAACGTCTACAAAACGAACATTCGGTAGTAATTCTTGTAACAAATAGCTTAACAAATTATATGGATAAAGTGCGACAGCTGGTAAAAGAAAATCCTGAAATCGATGCAAATACTTTTATGCCTGATGGTCGATATAATCATATTATGCAAGTGCAAGAAAGATTAAATTTTTTGCGTTTCTTATTAAAGGTATGTTCTAGATTTTTAGAATAACCCAAACATGAATTTTTAATACGGATAACATGATATGATTCTTTTCATAGGATGGACAATTGTGGCTATGTGCTGATCAAGCAGAACAAATTTGGCAATGTTTAGCTGAGCAAGGTGTATTTGTTTCGGATCGTGAGGCATGCTTTAAATGGTTTTCTAAACTTATGGGAGACGAACCGGATCTAGATCCAGCAATAAACAAGGATTTTTTTCAAAACAATATACTGCAGTTAGATCCGACATTACTTACAGAAAGCGGTATTAAATGTTATGAAAGATTTTTTAAAGCTGTTAATTCTAAGGAAGGAAAATTGAAACTGAAACGTAGAACATTTCTTATGGATGATGTGGATTTAATTGGAACTGATTATTTGTGGAGAGTATGTAGTATTTGTTTACTTTGATTATATATATAATTTTATAGAATTTGCATTTTTTCCATTTTTTTTTTCGTATGCATGTTTGTATAATGGTAATCTTATCTGTCTACAGGTAGTAACAAACAGCCCAGAAGAAATTGCAAACAGAGGCATAGAACTCTTAAAAGAAGTGAACACTAATTTAGGACCACGGTTGCAGTCGTCTGTTTTAGCATTTCATGAAACATATATAGCGGAATGTATGGACAGATTGAAAGCTCATTACGATACTGTGACTGTTTTAAGCAGAGTATATCTAGACGGAAAGGAGGATCGCGAAGAACAAATGACAAACAAGATTAAAATGGAAGCCATAAAAATGTGTCGTGTTATGAAAGTCTTACAGGAATACATAAACGAGTGTGATACAGCTTTTCCGGGAGAACGAAAAATATTACCGTTACATAGGTATTTACTTAAATCGCACATATTGATAACAATGCTTTTGTCTTATATACAGTGATAGCGTAATATTTATTCTGATTACAGAGCAGCTCGTGGCAAGCATCTATCACTTGTTATTCGTTTTGCGAGTCCTGGTCGAAACGTTGACGATATAGATATCTTTACCCACAGCAATGACACTTTAGCTTCATTGAGACGTCAAATATTACGCAGGATTAAAGCAAGCGGGACAAATGTAAAACTCGATTTATTTATTAATGGAGAATCGCTAGAACAATCCGATGATAGAAAACTCCTTTCTCAGATTCCCCTCAGAGACAAAATGGTAAGTGTTAATCGAGTTTTAATGGAAACAAATGAAAGAAAGGAATCTCGATATGTATATAGTTAACGAATATGATTTGTGTTTTGTTTAGTTATTGTCTGCAAAGCTCAGTCAAGTAAATAGCAATATGCCAAGCTCACCAGATAGTAGCTCTGATAGCTCTACTAGTTCTCCGCATCATCCATACGACGGGCCGAATGTAGAGGCAGAGAATAGTTTACCTGGTGTGGTAAGTTTAATGTAAAATTTATAAACTCAGTTAATTATATCGCATCGTACACTTGTTCTAACAATGCGATTTTGTTTTAGGTAATGTCACAAAGATCGCAATATGCGACATTTTTCTTTCAATTAGCAGATCTTGGCTGTTCTCTTCAGCATTCACAATTGCGTGATGGTGCACGAAATCTCTTACAATTAGTGCCGCCAGATACCTTTACTGTAACAAGATTACAGTGGCTATTTGGTCATTACAAAGACGATGAAGCTTTACAGAACCCTTCTCATTGTAACGAGCAGAATACGACTGTAGATTCTCTATTTTTTACTGCAAGTCCTAGCCAAGTTTTATACAATTTAGAGGTGAATATTTAATACATTAAATAGTTTAGTAAGTTTTGTCCTTGTACGTTGTCAATAACGGCTTTCCTTTTTTTTTTAGGTGTTATACACTTTGTTGATGCCAGCTCTTGATCCTATGTCAGACAGAGCATTTGAATTTCAATATAATTTCATAAAAAGCGGCGAAGCGGGCGTTATTCTCGATATGCTAACCAAAAATAAGTTTTTACCAAATGCAGATGAAACCACGAAGCGGTCTGCATATCTAACTGTGCTGAGATTGTGCAAACTTCTTCTTACAGTGATGGGTAATGTGATGGCATGCGTAATGGATGAAGTTCAGCAAACTGGAACTTCGGAGAATCACGACAATCATGTTAACAACCGCGGTCGAGTGACTGTATTGAAACAGGCCCTTCAAAGTGTACCGAATCAAAGTACCGAATACATGTTAAGAAGTGTGGCAGCCAAACTAGCACAGCATCTGGCGCATCGAATGCTATCAGGCGGGCCCGAGGCTGATCGATGTCGACAGCTTTTCGTGCAGGCCCTTTCATGGGAATTACCGGATGTGGCTACTATACGTGCCATAATTAGACTAGCGTGGGCCGCATCCACGGGTAACTTGAACAACATTAATGCATCGAATGAAGTGCTTCATTCGATGCACGAGACTAACCAAAAAGAACAGAGAAATCCCGATAATAACGACGTCCTTGTGTGCAAGGAAGCACTCGAGGTACTGACAATCGCTCTCGTATTGAATCCATCGGCATTAGAAACATTGTCGAGAGACAAAATATGGCATACCTTCTTGATAGATCTCGTGCTACTTAGTACGTCAAGAGCCATCAGAATCGCTGCCGGCGAACAATTTTTTCTCATATCGACATGGTGCAGTGGTGGACACCAAACGCTACTGGTCACTGTAACTCTTCTCTTCACCGTTTTAAACAGTACCGTTATGGAAAACGCGAAACAGAGTCACGAGTACTTTCAGCTTTTGTGCCGATTGTTGAACTTCGCGCATATGTCAGGTTGTCCCCTCACGACCGCAGAGACACTATTAAACGTCGAAATAGCTTGGTTGAAAAAAGTTCGCGATAACGTGAAGGAGACTGGAGAGAGTCAGGTGGATGAAGCCTTGCTCGAGGGTCATCTTGGTCTAACGAAGGAACTGTTAGCCTTCCTGCCATCAAATCAGAAATATGAGATTGGTTCTGACGAGAAGCACGGGGTTAATTTGATTAAGGAACTGGTCGAGGATTTTGTGTTCCCCGCATCTCGCCTCATGCTGCAACTTCGTAGTACCGGCGAACTCAGCGCTTCACAAGCGTGTCCAGTTTGCACTACCCCTCAATCAACCAGCGCTGCGTTCGACTTGCTCGTAGGTCTTTGCATAGGCTGTGTACCCAACATGAAACTTCTAGTCACAATGCTCACCGACATGTTTTACTCCGAGAAGGACGAACCATTAGTGGAGTGGGATTATTTACCGCCTGTGGGGCTTAGGCCACTTAAAGGCTTCGTAGGCTTGAAGAATGCAGGAGCAACTTGTTATATGAATTCAGTATTACAGCAATTGTACATGGTGGAAAGCATTAGAGTTGGACTTTTGGCAGCAGAAGGCGCGGCGACTGATTTGAACGAGGATTTTTCGGGCGAGGAGAGAATTGAAGGGGAGCAGACAATCGAAACAAATGATAATGATACGAACGAAGAAAAGTGTGGTGCCGATGAATCCAGAAAGGAATATAATATTGGTATTTTAAAACAAGTGCAAGCAATATTTGGTCATCTGGCTTACAGTAAATTACAATACTACATACCTAGAGGACTATGGAAGCACTTTAAGTAAGAATACATATAATTTTATTTGTAAAAATAAAATTTTTTAAAAGTAACAAACATAAATTTGTTTGTAAGGAAAACAGAAAGGAACCCTCATACAATTTTATTAATATAAAACTGATAGGGACATATATATTATACTCAGTATTTTAAATAATTAATGAGATAATTCGATTTTTATAGGCTTCAAGGAGAACCTGTAAATCTTAGAGAACAACAGGATGCAGTAGAATTCTTCATGAGTTTGGTAGAGAGCCTAGATGAGGCATTGAAAGCCTTAGGACACGAGCAGATAATGGGCAAGATTCTTGGTGGCTCATACAGCGACCAAAAAATCTGCAAAGGTTGCCCTCATAGGTACCTTTTTAGTTCTTACTTTCTACTTTCTTCGGTAGACTGTAATACCACATTACATTATCTTCAGATATTCCAAAGAGGAACCATTCAGCGTGATAAGTGTTGACATACGGAATCACAGTAATTTATTGGATTCTCTTGAGCAATATGTGAAGGGAGAACTGCTGGAGGGTGCAGATGCCTATCATTGTGATAAGTGCAACAAAAAGGTACGATTATGACGATTTAAAAATCTATAAGAAAGCCTTATTATAATGAAAATAATTGTTTTAAAAAAAACATTATGAAAATAATTTGCCAGCTATGTTATACATTCTATTTAAACCAAGTAACATTTTATTTACTTAGAGATTTTATGTATTTCTTTCATGTTTAGGTTGTAACAGTAAAGAGATTATGTGTGAAAAAGCTGCCGCCTATTTTAGCAATTCAGTTGAAAAGATTTGAATATGATTTTGAGCGTGTGTGTGCTATAAAATTTAACGATTACTTTGAGTTTCCACGTGATCTGGACATGGAACCTTACACTGTCTCCGGTTTAGCTAAATTGGAAGGAGAAGTCATAGACTGTGATTATGAGGAATCTATAAAGGGAACGTGCACGAAGTATCAATTAACTGGTATCGTCGTTCATAGTGGTCAGGCTAGCGGTGGCCATTATTATTCTTACATTTTGCACAGGTATTTTAAATATAAACGTATGAAGTATTTCTAACTGATAAATTAAACTATTTTTATTCAATAATTTTGCAGACTGAATGATGGTACAGCAAAGTGGTACAAGTTTGATGATGGTGATGTAACAGAATGCAAAATGGAAGAGGAGGAAGAGATGAAATCTCAATGCTTTGGTGGTGATTATTTAGGAGAGGTATTCGATCATATGCTCAAGCGGATGAGTTACCGCAAACAGAAACGATGGTGGAATGCGTATATGTTATTTTATACAAGACTAGATGTAGAAGAAAATTCTCTAATGAAAAGTGTAAATGAATTGTCATTGTGTAAGTTATCGAGAAAATTTTCCATAAAAATCAATCTTGACGAATGAATCTCATTATCGCTTACATTCTTTAGATACGAAACTAGGAGTTATGAAAATGCCATCAGCAATAGAATACAGTGTACGAAAGCAAAATATAAAATTTATGCACAACCGAAATCAATTTAGTGCTGAATACTTCCAGTTCATCAAGAAATTGGTGTCCTGCAATCCTCACAATATTAATCGGCAAAATCTGAATGAAAAACTTGTGAGTCCATCACATGTATAAGTTAAATGTATTTTTAACAGAACTCCGCTAACTCATGACGATTTTATTTTAGAGCCCTGAAGCGGAAGAACTTGCGATGCTATCTCTTCAGTTAGCATCAAGGTTCCTTTTTTATACAGGTTTCCACACTAAGAAAACATTACGTGGTACGGCAACAGATTGGTATGACATCGTATGTCATCATTTGCGTAGCAGTAAAACAGTGCGCTCTTGGTTCGCTAATGAAGTGCTGTTCAATCATCCACATAGGTATTAAAACTTTCTAAATATATAATGCATAAAAACATTTGCGTTTTAATATTAATATAATTTGTTATCTATAGATTTTGCGAATACCTCTTGAGTTGTCCTAGTACGGAGGTGCGCACTGCTTTCCTCAAAATTTTGGTATTCCTCGCACATGTTTCTTTGCAAGATGGTCCATGTGCTCCGCCCAGTTTAAACGCACCGAGTGAGTACTAAGATTTGCATAAAAATTCAAAGATACAATCAATATGATGACACTTGACAATCTTTACTTTATAATTTGTAAATATTTTTAGCTATACTTTTAGATCCAGTAGCAACGCTCAGTGATCACTTGTTACATGCGGTACTGTCGCTGCTGCACCGTGAAATTTCGGATCACGGACGTCATCTTCCTCATTATTTTTCTCTCTTTCATGCGTATGCTTCGCTTGGTCTTGCCGAAAAGGCGCAACTGCTTAAGGTAATACATAATTTAATAATTATGTTACATAATTACGTAAACGATTATTAACAGCTTTTATTATGCACAAAATCTGCGCAACAACAATGTAATGATATTGTTACAGTTGTTAAGAGTTACGTACAGAGTTAAGAGTTAGAATAGGGTCCTAAATATTAATATTATTATCTGGTACTAAAAATTTAATATATTCGACATATTTTAACAATTTTTTAATATTATTTGCAGCTAAATGTACCAGTTACGTTTATGTTAGTCGCCATCGATGAAGGTCCAGGTCCTACTATAAAATATCAGTATCCGGAATTGACTAAACTTCATCAAGTAGTTAGCATGTTAATACGATGCTGTGATGTATCGTCGAAAGTACATTCGAGTCAGCAGCCTCGTGCAGAACCTTTACCAAATCCATATGGCGATCCCGCGTGTCAATCAGAGTATCTTATGCCTATCCAATCACAAGCAGCTGACATATTGTTTATTCGTACTAGGTAAGGATTAACACAAGTTTGGAATTCCGGGATAGAATTTCATATAATATATTTATTCTATTTGTTGGAATATAGTTACATTAAGAAATTGATTGAGGATGCTAATGTGACTGAAGATACAGTTAAATTATTGCAATACTGTTGTTGGGAGAATCCACATTTGTCACGAACAGTTCTTAGCGAGCTGTTATGGCAGATAGGATTCGCTTATACTCACGAGTTAAGGCATCATACAGACCTGCTGCTTGCGATACTATTGATGGAGGATTCATGGCAGACACATCGCGTACACAATGCACTTAAGGGTAAATTTTAAAAACTCTTTCGAGTATTGTTTGTTAGTATCACAATACATGAAATTATATCTATCAGGAGTTCCCGACGAACGAGAAGGTTTATTTGAAACGATACAAAGAAGTAAAAATCATTATCAAAAAAGGGCTTACCAGTGTATTAAATGTATGGTGCAGCTCTTTAGTAAATGCAGACCAGCACACCAGCTTTTACATCACAGTCCAGAGTTGAAAAGAAAATGGAGTCACGCCATTGATTGGCTCCACGACGAACTTGACAAAGTATGTAGCAGAAACTGAACATTAAGCCAGTCGATATTAGGATAATTATAAATGTATAATAAATCGTTTTCAGAGACCATATGCTTCTACGGCGCCATACACACACGCGTATAACAACTGGTCGCCACCAACACAATCTAATGATTCTGCAAATGGCTATGTTTTGGAACGTAGTAATAGTGCAAGGAAGACATTGGAGCGAGCATGCGAACTGTGTCCTGATGTTGAAGAACCTGAAGTTGAAGATACAAGTGAAGATTGTGCGGAAGAAGCAGAAAAATATCAACATACATATAAATATCAATCTATCAATCCAACCAAATATCAAGTCCGAAGTACTAAGAGACGCAATAACAGAAGTTTAGCATGGGCATCTATGGAGTAAGTTGTAATATGTATCTCTATGCTTATATGCTTCAATAATATCAGTTATAAAATTTGTTTGTCTAAATTTTTTAATAAAATTTAAAATAAAAAATAATATATTACAATTTAAAATTTATAGATAAACTCTATAAATATTGGATTTTTATTTTATTTATAAAAGAATTAATAGTAAATAATACAGTAATTTTTTTATAAGACATAAGCAAACTGATTTTTAACAGTTTATTATTCCTTTTTATAGGTATCATCCCGACTTTACTATGATCCAACAAATGCAAGAAGAACAACAACCTCAACCAGGACCTTCTCCAGTACATACACCCCACTTAGCGCTTCAAATGCATAATCCGCAAAACTGTGAGTCGTCACAAAATACCAGCCAGGATCCATAATGAACGCTGAATACTGACGTTTTACCAAGTTGCTGCCTCAGTGAAACAATTTCGGGATACTTAGATATTACTGCGCCAGCAGCTTGGTGGCGAGCGGTAGCAGCACATGTACAGATATAACAAGTGAGGATTTGTTTTTTTAGTGGTCATTCTTTAACGAACTCATGCTAATCTCTTAGTTTCACTGTGGGTAGTTACTTTGATAATATGACGCGCTATGAATGTTCGAACTGTAATGATGAAGTGGAAAACGATTCTGAATGAAAAGTGAATTAACGCATGCTGGTTGAGGCAATCCATTTTGAACGACAGTTTCTTTCTCCTTAATCTCGACCAGCTCTGTATCTCCCCGACCATTTGGCTTCCAATTCTATGACAATTTGACAAAAAAAAACCCCCCATCTTTTCTCAAGCAATCGATAAAGCTGATAGTACAGCTAGAAGTTTCATTTGCCTCGATTAATGCATGTGGATTCAAGCTTAGGAATATCGTAAGATTGTATAAATGTATAGCGAGTAGTGTGTTACGGAATCCCTCTGCCGATTAGAAGACAAAATATAAACCATAATTTTCCGTATGCCTATGTAAATTTGTTACTAATAAAAAAAAAGAAGGGAAGTTGAAATGGAACTTTCTAACGATCGAAAGATATGACTATAACAAAAAGGGAAATGAGCTAGTATGTTCTCATCTCATTCAGAGAAAGCACAGTTATCATGAAAAAACTATGCTCTAACAAATACATATATAAAAATATATAGCTACGCTATATATGTATACATAGCTTTTGCTATTTCATCTTTTAACAACAATAAAAGAATCCTTCTTGTACTTAATAACTCGAGATTTCTGGAAGAAAGACACTTATCGGCGGCCTGCCGCGCTGCTAAATTTCAACATACGCCAATGATGCCTCCAGTTGTGCTTTCTTTCAGTTCGACCGATTTGAAAGAGTTGTGCCTTCGACATTGTGCGACTCCCATTGTACTTTTAGGTAGATTTTAAGAATCAAGTTGTTGCTTCAAATTTGATTGCTTATACTTCGCTTGTTGAGTTGACTATAGAAAAGAAAAGTGAAAAGAATCTAGAAGGTTGTATAATTGAAAACGCGTGGGATACGACGAGAGATAATTTCGTCGATGGAAAGATAGATCGGAACGTATTTCAGAGCCCAAAATGAAATGGGCCACTTTAGTTTATTATGACGCACGTACACGTTAAATACGACGTCGAGTTGTCGAATGTATGGGCAGCTGCTTGAAAACGGAACCTCATCCGGAGTCCAAATTTTTACGAAGAAAAGGAATTGAAAAGAGCGGTAGTGAGACGCAAAAAGGATATGGAGCAAACAAATACTAGTTTGTATCGTTGTATGATACGATTCATCGTTGATAGAGCTGTGGTCTTTTCGCAAAAGTTGTGAAAGCGATCATGGCATATATCGTTTCGGCAATCGTCCGACATATTACGTAACGGAGATGCATTCTATAGGAGAGAACGTGGACTATGCGACGAACGACCCTCGAATTTATGAACTGGCCATAGCTCTGACTTATTAAATAACGTGTGTTATATATAGATATTATATAAAAATAATCTTTAAAAAGAGAGAGAAAAGAGAAAAAAAAGTCGCGCGTGTAACATGGAATAAGCGAGCCGTGTGTATACATAAGATTTCGTGCGAAAAACCAACGACTATGTCAAGACACCAGGAAGTAATGACGTATTGCTTATTATTATTCGTATTTATCGAATACAGAATTAAACAGTGTACCAAATTATATAATAACTTCTATTGATTAAATGATAATGGTACCTAATCTTACTCAGACATGTACATATAGACAACCGCTTTTTATATGTGATAAAAAAATTATTATATTCCTATTATAGATTGAGATTTAGACAAACGCTATTGTAAATCCTGGTTTTTGTACACAGACTGTATGCTAAGTTCACTTTTGTTAACACGAACTGTAGTCTATAATTATTTAATATTTAATTATATCACTAAATAAGTGTATAATGTACAATATTTGATTTTCTTTCTATTTTTTTTTAAATTACTTCAAAAGATGATATGGTTTACAAACTGGAAGTGTCATGAATACTAGTGTCATTTATCTTATGCGTGGTAGAGAAATAAGGAAGACATAAATTACGAGACATAGCCGAGCGCATTGTTTCTAATCAGTGACAGACAGAATTTCCGGAATATCGTTTCTCATATTTTTTTTTTATCATCGAACAAAGTAGCTCGGTATTGTCGCGCAAGAAGAAAAGAAAGGAGGTATGCAAAGGGCAATAGAGATTGCGATAGGATTTTATTTTTCTGTGCGTAACACAGGGTCAGAGATTAAGATCAGTATAATTTCATTAATTTATGGAGGTACGTGAAAGTTGCCTGTATGAATTCGTTTGCGAAACTCAAAAGACGAAACTCGATTGGTGCGAGGTTTTTTCTCGCGTACGCGAGAATTTCAACCCGTCGAAATTATACCGATTTCCACAATGCTTGTGCGTAACGAAAAAGAGCGTGAGGAAAGAGAAAGGTGATTGTGTAGCAACGTTTACATGAGACGTATACGCGTTCCCATTCTACGGATAAACTAGAAGGAAATACTGTATTAACACTGCTTAATACGTTGCGTACACATAGTCGTCGTGAATTTACATTTATTTCAGAATACGAGGGTCGTCGAATAAAAAAAAAAGAAAAAAAAATAATCAAAAGACTCAAAGGCAAATGTATATGAACTATAACGTGCATTATCGCATGTGTCGTTCTTGCGTCGCCTGCATGCGAAACGCACGTGAGATCAGAGTGGTATCGTTCTCGAGATCGTATGCAGTTATAATTCTCACAAACGTAGCAAAGGGAAAAGATGAAGAAGAGGAAGAATGAGAAGAGGACGAAGAGAAGGAAGAGGAAAGAGGAAGGAAAGATTTGTCATCGACGTTCTCTTTAGTTCTAGTTCTAAAGATAATTTTAATTGTATTCAGCGCAAATGACGCTCTAGTCAGTAAAATTACGAATAAACGAAAGGAGATTAACAGCTTTCGTTCATTTAATCTGCGTGACGTTCTCGAAGCGTCCGGTCGACGACGCGTGTATCCAACAAGACCACCAAGGGAATCACCATCGTTCTCGTCGTCATCGCCACTTTCATCAAATGGGCCACGAACGTTTCTGCAGACGCGTACTTCGCATTTTCTCGTTTGCCTTTAACGTACGAGGGGCTCGTCGCTTGTAACTACCTCGACAGGCAGTGTGTCTACTCCATGTTTTTCGTCTTGATCCTCGAGCAATCCTGCCCTGAAGAAAGAGAACGCGCACGCTGATGCTCTTTATATTCGATTATCCTGTGAAAGAATGAGAAAATGTTATTATTAGAACATTAGTTGTAATATTAAATTTACTATTAGTTCTAATCTGAATCTTTCCAAGAGAGATTTCCTCGTTCGCGAAAATCATAGAGGTTTCTTGAAAAAAAAAGAGCATCCGCTTTCGCTTCTGAACTATTTTGTGCATCAGCGTGATCGTTCGAGTTATCGGTGTCGCTTTATTTTGTTAGTTAGCGTCTAAGAAACGAACGAGGTTCGTCGGACAGGTCACTGGTCACGAATTGATGTTCGGATCGAGGATCCTCATCAATTTAATAACACTGATTGTAAATTTCGTAATTTAACATCGACCCGAATGTCACGATTCTCAGGCCAGTTGGGTGCTCCGCAGATGTAATCTTTACCAAAGTCAGATACCAGAAGCATATGTTTTCTAATGACTCCTTATTCACTGGCTATGCGTATTGTATATTTACGTTTGTGTAAAAATACTTTTTGCACATGATTTGTAATTCTTTGGAGTGCGAACGTCGAAGAACGATCGTACGATATCCTTGACATTCAGATATCACAACGTACTCCTTTTTACATTAATTAATTTAAACGTTAGATAGTTTGCTTCAGAATGCGCGATTGCATATCTTCGAAAGCTTTAAAGATGCCCAGTAAAAAAAGTTTATATATAATTACATATATATTTATACTTGAATATATGTAAATTTTTTTTATATCGGGTAGAATATAAAGATTAGAGCAAGGAAGAAATTTATATCGAGAAAAAGAGAAAACTTGATTGAGAGAATTTTTTTTTTAGAATGAAAAGAGAACCCCGAAAGAAGAAACTAACTTAATATTCGCATAATACACCGAAATATCCTATCGCCTAAAATTTTTTCCAGCTTGTAATGTACAATTTTTAGGGAGGATTACGTTGTATGCGGAAGAAATGTTATATAATTTACGTTTACACGCGTATACATAAACAGGCTTGTCCTGTTGCAAGTACTATTTAGTTTCTACGCTTTCTTCGCACGAAACCAAATACTAGTGCTTTGCAAAGGAGGAAGAGAGAGTGATAGAAGGAAACAGAGCAAAGGCAAGAAACATGACGCAAATAAATCAACCACATAACTGAATCCAAGGCTTTCCTATACCGAATCGCGTCGTGGCGAAAAGATGAAAATGTAAGAGACTCGCGAGCGCATTACTAATTAATAAAGTTAGGAGAATATTTATATGCGGTGTACGGAATATCTGATTTTTGCGTGATTGTTTAACGTTTTTTCGTTCTAGCGGGACTCTGGAAATTGTCATTTCGTATAATTCAATGCCACATAAGAAATCCGATTAGACGCGAAACGTAAAATGCGCGAAGAAATGATTGAAACGTGAAAATGTCAAAGAGACATGAAATATTTTTGAACGTTAATGATGTTAAGTAATATTTGAAAAGAGGCCGAATTTGAAACCTCGGGTAATTGTGTTGTGGTATCAAACTGATCGATGGTGATTGATTAGCGAATAAAGATAACAATTGTATTTATGCAAGGTACAAGATATAATTAAATGTAAGGATCCTGCACAGGATCGTACTAACTTACTATTCATAAGGCGAATATGACATATGAATTCATGAGAGCATACGATTCATGGAATTCACTAATAATAGCGTTAATGTTATATGTCCATGAATTATGCACATAAACGTGGTTTTTTAACGAACAATTGCCGATTTAAAAATTAAAATAGAGTGTCTAATTTATTCTTATGTATTCCAACAGAAAAAAAATTGATAATATGCAGCTACGAAGAGCTAAAATGGATAGACAGTACGCACTGCATGCGATAATGAGAGAAGATATCCAGGTGGAAATTGACACATGAAAAAAGAAATTAATATGAAATTAACGCAATTGTGACACATCTAAAAAAGAAATTAATATGAAATTAACGCAATTGTGAAATATCTAAAGATGCAACGACGCCAAAAGAAGTCCTCGTTCTTAGATTTTCGAAGAATTTTGAATAATGATTAGCTCTCTGTGGCATTGGGAATAGCAAACAGAGAGTACATTGAATTCCGATTTTCGAAGTTACTCTCATCCTTTATTCGAGTCGCTCGTAACAAGGGGATGAGAGAGGAAACATAATTTGAAATTGTTAGATAGAGTAGAATATAAATTATAACACAAAAATGGTATCAAAATAATTTAAAAATGATTATTAAAAATAGTATTTGATAATTCATTCGATAACGATTCAAAAAACGTTATATCATGACCTGTTGTCCTGTTTAGGAAAGCTCTGTTAATTTGACGCAATCGCTCTAATAAAATATTACGGATGAAATGGAATATACTCCAGTATAATTTTTTGCTGTTGTAATACATACGCGAAATCTTATAGGACTTCTCAAAGCGATTCGCAGTGAATTTGGAAGGGAAGTCGAGAACATTGCAAGCGTGTAAAAAGAAAATTTTTAATCGTGTATTTTATTTGTTAGGATTTGTTAATAATGCTGTAAACGCGTTACTTTCAAATAATTTTAATTTTACATTAATTTTATTTTAGTAATAATTTTCATAATTCAATTTTGCTAGCATCGTGTATTAATAATCAAATACGTTCACGCTTGTTGAATGTTTCTGGTGGATCCTCCTCGAGGATCATTACGATAAAAGACGTAAGGACGAGCGTTTTCGGATAAGGAAATCGCCCGCATAACATTTTCATTCATTTCGTCCTCGCGTAATTTCTCAGATTCTTGGTTATATACAATCAGGACTCATTCTCCGGGAATATAATACGCAAATGACATAAAAAAATCTGAAAAGACGTTTGGAAAAACGTCTGAAGGGGAGAAGGGACTTGCGAAATACATTAGAATTTAATCCTAAAATAGAATCTAATAGACTTGAGATGTTGAGATCGAAATTTTTCGATCGTTCGTTCTTATCAATGCCCTAATTCGTGTCAGATCTGGCAGAAAGGAGAAGCGAAGCTAGCGAGATACAGATTTCCCGTCGACGTGCTGAAATTCTATAGGCGATTCTATAAAAAGAGAATGCAAAAGAAGCGCTCAGATCGCTCTACGCGCTACATATCCGTTTGGCGCATTTATGCAGGCATTTTCTATTTTAAACTCGTAAAATCGACTCGCCAACCGATCCTGCGACCCTTCCCCACGCCGCCGACCCGCGCGATTATTTATGGTCCCTCGCAGACTCTCTTTCGATATACATATTATATATATAAATATATAAATATAAGTATAATTACTATAAGATTGTATATTCTTAATTAGACGCAACATGCTGGCGAGCGCGCGCGCGGTCGCTGGGGTGATTTGAAATAAAATTGAAATTGCACACGGCCACACACACACACACACACACACACACACACACACACACTTAACACGTATAAGCATGTACACAACAACGAATAAACACATACACAAAAATATAAATACGCACGGGGGGTTGCGGGCGACGGTTTGCCAATTTTCGCGAGGGGTTTTCACTTACGAACGGGCGACGCCCGCGTATCCTGCGTGTTTCGCAGTAAGGAGACCTCTGCCGCCTCCGGAAAAACTTTTGTGTATTATTTCTAACAGAATGTAATAAAGTAAAGTTTAAACAGACGATTGTTTTCTCTTCCCTTTCTCCGTTAGAAAAAAATAATCTAATACTCCGTACGTAATTTATGTATAATAATATGAATAATTAAATGTAAATCATACAACATCTTAAATCTTAATATATGATAGTGTAATATTGACACTTTATGATTAGGAAATCTGCAATATAATTTTCTATTTCATAATGCTATTTATAATTCAACAATAAGCAAAATGTTAGCAATACATCAACAGTTTGCTGATTAGAATTATCATAATACATTCACATTAATCTTATTTTCTGTCAGAAATAGCAGGTTTTGCTTGATATATAGATATTCTACATTAAAAGAATGTAATAACAATCGATCTATTATATTCTATTAATGTTCTTTTATTCTTTTTGTTAGAATTCTGCTAACAAGATTTATAGACACTTTAGATTTATAAAATTTATAAAAATATGAAAAGAAAGAGCATAAAGAACCACAGCACAAGATGTAGTTAGTGATATTTAATTATTCTTGCATTACGAATTGCAATAAAAACATTAAACGTTTCGGCCACAATCTGGCCATCTTCAGTAAAATTAATAATATTCTTAAGATGCAGAGTTACATCAAGTTGGAATAAAATTCAACCGTCGTGTGTTATAATTGTAAAAATTGTTTGCATCAATGCGATGCTGCTTCGTATAATAATGTTAGAACGTCAGAAGTCATATAGTGAAAAGTTTAGAACGAGAATTTCCAGATTCTAATTTACAATAATTTATTTTATTATTAATATCTTTTAAAACGGAGTATAAAACAAAAGAAACATTACCTGTTTTACAGCAAAATAAATCGATGAATTTCAAGTATAATCATTGCACAGATAGAAATTTGTCGTGACATTATGTGTTGTTATTGGTATCACATATTTTTCCGCTATTTATATCCATGAGTCAAATAGTTTAGAAAGTTCCAGAATTATTTATTAAGTGCGAGAAAGATCTTTCTTTAGAAGAGGAAGATAAACATCAGGCAAACCTTCAGTATCACTTTGTTTATTGATCCCACTTATTTGGTTTTTAATATGTATCATTTCTGAAATTCTTCGTTTCATCAATGATTGTTCTGTATCTAAAATCTTAATGTTATCCCAATCAAACTCATGCATTTCATTCACACGGTGACGTGAAACAACTGATATCTCAGAAGTAGATTTCTTAATATCAGTCTTGTGTTCTTTAATACGAGTTTTTAATTTTCTCTTAGTTTGGCCAACATACGACGATTCGCAATTCAAACAATTAATTTTATAAACTACTCCACAATGGTTATCCTTAAGTAAGGGATCTTTTCCTGTTTTTATAATTGTATTTAATTTATTCATCGGTTTATAAGCTATATTAAAACCATGAATATATGCAAGTTTTTTGAATTTTTCAGAAACCTTGCTTAAGTATGGTATCGCGAAAAATTTTTTCTTGTTGGAATCATATTCATTATTATTTACTTCGCGATTTTTATCTGGATTAGTTCTATTTTCCAAAGTTTTTATTCTATTATTAATTGTCGAAAATACGAATTTGAGAGGATAGCCATTATTGAGAAGAGTGTGAATTAATTCCGAAATGTTCTTTTCATGAAATTTGGGATGGGACAACAGTAAAATTCTATCAAGCTGCTCAATGATTACTCCTTTTTTATGTGTTAATGGATGATTCGAAAAATAATTTAAATATCTCCCCGAATTGGTAGGTTTTTTATACATATCAAAATAAAATTATTACATATCAAATTAAATTATTTTTCGAATCATCCATTAGCAAAAAATATCACTAACTACGTCTTGTGCTGTGGTTCTTTATGCTCTTTCTTTTTATATTTTTGAAATTATAACCACAATCATTTTTTACATTTTATAAAATTTATTTCTGACAAATTTGGTAGAGTATTATTTAAATAGTTATAAAAATAATAAATTCTGCAATAATTCTTAAAATTTCTTCTTAATAATTTTAATAATTTTAAGAATCTTTGTTAAGGCGATAATTAAAATAATCAAAGCGCGACGCATTTTAATGCCTTCCCAATGTCGAAAAATCATTATTACAAGCTATTACCATTAAAGTAGTTATTATCTTAATAAAAATTTTATCTTGAACTGACTATTTAAATTTTTGTTTGTAGCCAGTATTTGTAGTCTGTATTTACTTTAAGACCATCTTTAGTGATATTCTACCTATTACGACTTTGTGATAAGAGTTCTTAGTTCTACTTAAGTAAGAGAATCAACTATGAATACCAGCATTGTAACTCGTAGCATTTCGACTTACAGTTATACGTAATATTTCTCGGTAAGTATTATATATCATCGTCTAAATAAAATTCAGTCGAAACAACAATTTCTCTACTTATTCTACACTTAAATTAAAACATATTACGTCGTGTTTCGGAGGCATGTGTGTTATTAAATAATTTACATCGATGTAAATTATACGACATACATTATGCTAGTTCATGTCGTTTTTTCTCCTATAAATATCTCTTGAAAAAAACGACAAATCGTTCCACGACATCTAATATAATAATCCATTAAAGATAAAAAACATACAATGGCAAAATATATAATTCAATAAAACTGCCACATTCCTTGGAGTACCATTTATTTATGTTTGTTACATCAATTTATCCTTCATGAGAAGACAGTTGATATATTCATCGCATTGCGAAGATAGATAAAAACAACCCGTGATGATTTAAGAATGTTTTATCTGTTGACAAAATTTTTCCATGGCGCTATCGGCGAGGAATTATCGAGGAATATAGTCAGACGTTTGTTAACGATCGAGACGAGCAAAAGTGAACAACGAGCCATCCAGCTGGTAAGTCTATCTTTTTATTCTCTTTCATTTACGCGAATTTTCGAGCATTTCATCTAAAATTTTTTCGAGTTACTATTAGTTTCGCTGTATATTGCATTATTGGTAAAATTGTTCTATTTGCGTTATCAATAAAATTACAACTTTAATCGTGTAATAAGATCATTATATTCTGTCAAGCGGAGACTTGTCGCAATTATATGACATTGTAGAAAAAAAATTACCTATATGTTATTATATTATAAAATATTAATTTATCTTAATACAAAGCTCTTCGGGTTATCTTGGAAATTTTCATTTTAAATTAGAAAATAAGAGCATATATTTTTGATCTAGTATAAGCCTTTTTACGCTTTATTGAAATTATGTGTTTATTTATTATTACTGTTTGAATTACATAATGCGCTTCTGTTACATATAACGTCACTTATACATGTTATGATATCGCTGCATATTCGTAGCAATATTATGTCATTATCTATTATCATATTATAAACATTATCTACTATTATATTATCAATTGGCAAATATGAAACGTTTTTAAAACGTTATAATGCAAATTATAAGAACATATTTTGTAAGGGAAGACTCGAGAATAAAATGCTAGAAAACACTAGAAAAATGTATAATGAATTTAATAAAAGGAAATCATGATTGATTCACTAATAAAAATTTTGCAAGTATTTTCGTTAAATAAAGTTTTTATGTAAAATCATTCAATACTCCCAGAATTGGCAAAGAAGTTAATAAAATTTACAACTGACAAAAAAATCTTTATTGAAATCGGTGAGTCAACTTACATGGCCTCTTCTCGATCAGATTTATTATAAATGTTCTTATAGTTCATTTCCAAGATAAATTAAAATACATATATAACAATATTTTCATTACAGACTGCAATTATTAATTCTTGGGGCGATAGGATGGCAGCATATGTGTGTATCGAAGACTATGAGAAGCATGCTCTGGAACATTTGACTCCTTCCATAAGGGACTACTATAAAGGCGGCGCAGGAGAAGAATATAGCGCAAAATGGAATAGGGAAGCTTTTAAAAAGTAATGTAATCTATCTAATCTAAACTTAAAGACAATAGTAAGTGGAAATCAGCTGAAAAACGATTAACACAAATTTTGAATTTCCAATTCCAACAAAAATATTATTGATCAAATATGGTCTTATTCGCTTATTTGTGTTATAAGTAAAGAAGTAGAAAAGATTTTTAGAAAGAAAAAGAGAGAAATAAGAAATAAATAATAAGTTTAATATGAAATATTTGATCTGAAAAGGTATTACTATTTTTCTAGATATTTATATTGTATAATATTGTACGTATACGATTCCTCAATTAATACATGGAACTGAAAGATAAGATATTAATATATTCTTCATATAGATTAGCGACTAAAAATATGACTGTCCTAATTTTTGATCATTTTTGCAGTTACAGGATACGTCCCAGATTTTTGCGAAACGTGTCCGAAAGAGATATAAGCACGACGGTGTTGGGTTACAAAGTCTCAATGCCCTTGGGAGTTGCACCTACCGCAATGCAACGTATGGCACATCCTGATGGAGAGTGCGCCAATGCAAGGGGTAAGTAAACGTTTTGCGAAATATTTCTTATATAATATATTGAGATATTGACGCTTGAGGTTGCTGCTTAATTAGAACTATAATTTTATTGTACTATACTTTTTATTATTAGATTGGTATGTTACGTTTATTGTAAAATATATAAGGATCTTTTTTAATACAAACGTGTATATTAAATCATATAAATATGCTATAATAATAATCAAAGATTAGTCCAAACACACCAACGATCACAGACAGTTAACAATACTTCTTTAACATTCATTCCATAATTGTCAAAGATTCGCGCTCAAACATAAACGAATATACTGATTAATATAAAGAATAAATGCTCCAAATGTAATCATTTCTTATATATATATATATATAATTACTAACTCCATGAAACGCTCCATTTATACAGCTTTGATTTTTCGAGTATATCATAGAATAACTTTTAAGAAACTCATGTTTTTTTCTATATTTAACTAGAATACAACAGAATTTTTAAGACAATATATTACGTGGTAATATGTATTTTTAGACTTTTCCTACTTAATACAATATATTTCAAAGAAAAGTTATATTATGAAAGAATCTAGGATTAATATAAAAAATGTATATTGTTATTTATTTTATAATTTATTTATATCTGCATATTATAAGAAAAAAATTATATACTTTATATTTGAAGTTATTCTATAATTTACTTATGTATTGAAAACGGAAAGCGATTTTATATATCTTTCCTTTCATTATTTTTCATTATTTTTTTTTAAACAATTTTATCTATTAAAGTATAGTTCATAATACTTATATTGGTTAATGACAATGGAATGAATTCAATGAATAATTAAAACTATTATACAAGATATGTGTCACATATACTATAAGCTATTTTTCAGAAATATTTAGGGATAAAGAGGAATTTTGTGTTCATAAAACTTTTTTTATGCGCCATATAAAAAAATAAAGATCTTAAGAAATCACAAAATTTTAGTATAATTTCTGATAATTAATAAGAAAAAAATAGTTTGTAACACTTTATGTGATTCATACTGCATAAATTGTATTCATGATTTCTCGATAGACTTTAAAACTTGATTCGTTAAAGAAAATTCTGTTTTAATGAAAAAAATTTTCATTACAATACAAATAAAATAATATCAGTCCTGCTTAGTCATGCTGCTAAGCAGCGTTTGAAAAGATTATAATCTTTACCGTAATATTAATTTGAGCGAAAGGGAAACTTAAATGCTAAGATCATTATCGTACCGTATGGCTATGTGATGTAAGGCACGATAGAGCGCTTATGCGATATGTATAGACACATCCGCCGATATGAAGACCGCTTGTTATTCGGGAAAATTGCACATTCAAAGAACGAAAATTTCGCCTTGTGCTATGTGCAAATTATTGCGCGTTGATCGAGTCTTACTTTTCGTTGCTTATTAATACAAGTTCAATATGTTGTTCAACTTGGAATTTGCGATGTGACTAGTAACCAGGAATAAAAAACTTCTTAGAGTTCTATGATCCATTTCTATCAATGCGCAATGTAGATAACTTTAATCTCAGTTTAATTTATTTTTTATCTATTTCTAATTCTTAGAAATAGAAAAAGATAAAAAGTAAGTTAAATGGAAGTTAATCTACATTGACGGAAATGGGCTTATAACAAACAGGAATTCGGCGCGAGCCTACTGTTCAAGAAACATTATGGCAGTACTAAGGAAGAGAGTTCACTTGAGCTTGGGTCCTATGTTCTCCCAATTATTGATTGCCTTCATATTAACTTGTTCTATCCGCCATTTCTGAGTGGGTGATGATTTGTCGCATATAGTCACAAACACTCTTTTACTGCTCGGGTCGGTATCTAGGCATCTAGACGAGTAACCATGCTGCAGCCACTGCTTTTCAACATCATAACGCCATAACTGATTGCCTTGTTTCCCATGACAAGGATACAAGTTCACTGGTGCTTTCTCTTCGCCTTTGGATACATCTAAGCATTCCGTGCGATCTTTCGGTCTGATATCCTTATGCCAAGTCAATCGGAATTCTTGTTCACCCGATACTTTTTGATCGTCTTTCATGCAGGTGTCCACCACGACAAGCTCGTCTCTCTTCCGCTTCTTCGAGTCCAAACATAGTTCGGTCACGCCCATGTTTCTAATCTCTCCGTAAGCGAAATCGTCTGGCTCTATAGGTGGATACACTTCCACGAGGTCGAAGGCTATGTTCTTCATGAACCAATTAAAGGGTTTACAGTGCAATTTCTTGCGCAAGGCCTTTTGCTCCGACAAATCTCCCGGATCCAATGTCCGCAAGTGCGGTCGTCTCTTGTAGAGATATTCCGCATATTCGTCCATCCATACCTCAGCAACTCTTTTGAAGTTCTTTCCCAGAAAGTCACCGCGGCCGGGATTAGGGAATGGTGGGAATTTACGATAGACATGACCAACTCTGGAGCACGGTGCATCATACATTTGACCGCCGCATTGCCAGATTTTAAAGGACAGCTCATATTGTTCGCCACCCCATATATCCAAGCCTGGATCGTAACCGCCCAATTCCCAGAAGAATTTGGCGCTGATTGCAAACAGACCGCCCGCCATTATAGGACTTTTGAACGGCTCTGTAGGTCTCTTCAAATCTTCCGGAAGTAATGGAAGCCGCTTGTAATACAACTCCCAGTCAAATGCTCCTCGGGAGCCTTCATCTTGCGCTATATATTCAAAAGTCTCATAAGCTATCACATCAATGAACGGACAAACACAAGTTTTGTAATTTTGCGCAATAGGTTCTAACAACGGCGGCAACCAATTCACATTGGCTTCGCTGTGAGAGTCCAGGAACACGAGAACCTTCGCTCTTGCCTTCTTCGCACCCGCCAATCGGCCTCTGATCAATCCCGAGCGTTTTGATAATCGTACGATCGATACCTTCGGCAAGTGTTGGGCAACGTAATCATCTAGTTTCTTTTTTAACTCTATTTTCGTGCTGGCGTCGTCGACCAATATAATCTCTTCTAAAAGGGAAGGCGGCGACCGATTAACCACGCTCCAGCAAGTTCGTAGTAGCGTGCTGAAATGCTCGTTGTGGAAGGACACTATCACAGAAATGGGATCCAGGTTCTTCAAATATTTTTTCTTTCTACAATCTGGATGACGAATGTCAGGTACTGAACGATTCATTGATATCTCATCACTGACTGCTGCATTGAATCCATTTACTTGATACAATTTTTCTTTTAGCACGTCGAGGGATGGAGAAAGAAAGGCTGGTTTTCCATGTTCTCCTATCCCCGTACGTTTTTCCTCTTCCTGAATTTTCTTGTAATCATGCCAATCAATTTTGTCGTCCAAATCCTGTAAAATACGTTGCTATTAATAATCAGGAATGATGAGCTCTTGTCTATTTTTGTAGGCTTGTTTATAGAAAAGCTTACAGAAACAAGATAAATTTTGAAAAACAATTTATTTTTCACATTAGACAGTATTATTACTATATTATAAAATAATCGATGGTGATGATATATGAATACATAATACAAAATCGACAATGACATATTTGCGACCGTAAAAAAAACTAACGAACCACCTGACTTGAGCATGTAATCGTGTTGGTATATTCCTGATCGTTAGAAATGCAAAAGAAGTGCAAGTAAAACTCGTTTACTAACTGTTATGTGCACATGAGAAAAGTAGGTTTTTAGGTATGCATGTGCATAAGATGAACTCATAAGATCCGGTATATCTAATGCTTCGACTGCTGAAGCCATAAACGCGTATTAATTATAAATACAATAATTCAAGTAAGCATTCTTGAAATTGAACTCAACGAAGTTACAACGGTTCTAATTCTCTCTCGTTTAACATCTGGCGCAAGATTTATCCTGTTGCGACTTTTTTTTCGCAATAGAAATTGAATTCAATGAAATGTCATACCGAGTTCCATTTCTCCGTAAGCAAAAATGTTAGATAATAGTATGCAATTATTACTAGATTTGTGCAGAATATTATGGCAAATTGGCAGCAATTATATTTATATTAAACTCTGTTTTGTCAGCAGAACCTGCCGACATAATCTGACAACGGTTTGTCAGCAGAAAAACCGAATAGAATCTGTCATTTTTTGATCACTCAATTGAAACATATTCTTTAAATGATTACAAAGTGCATTCTTCTTAAATCAATATATAGAAAATTCTACATTTTTCTCAGTTTCTGCAATTTATAATTATGACCAATCTATTATTACATTTTATCAATATAAAATGTGATAAATGTATAGCTAATTTATTTTTAGTACATTTGAATACCAATTAAACAGATTTTGCCATTCAATCAGTCACTACATTCTGTAAAGATTTTAGTTTCTGTTAATATTCTATTAACATAATTTATAGACATTGTAAAATTTGTTCTTAACAAATTTGGCTTAAATTAATTAAATATGAAATGGTTACGAAATGACAGATTCTGTTTGGTTTATGTAATTTATCTACTATCATTACTACTGTCACTATTTTGTTAATAGGTCTTGTAATGTTTCTATTGACATTCTGCCAACAAAATTTGTAATAGATAGTTGATAAAATCTGTTTTTGATAGATCATGGGATATTTAAAAGATGAAGAAATGATAAATTCTGCTTGATTTTTGCAATCAATTCTGAGAAAAATTTCTGGTTAAAAATTCTGATCATAGTAATCAGAATTCTGTTATCTTTCCATTAAACAGCACTCCATTAAACAGATGTGTTTCTATTGGCAGTCTATAAAAAAAATTTGTAGCAAACACTTTAAAAAATGTCTGACAGATTTACTATCTCAATTATAAAATCATTAAATGTTTACAAAATCGCAAATTCTGTCATAAGATTTCATATTCTATCAATAGATTTCTATTATCATCTTTATCTTGTCATATTTATAGATTATTCTAGAATTTGTTATGTTGCTGCTAGCATTTCTATCAACAAAATTTGTAACAGATGCACCTAGCTTGCTTAAGTTTTCAACAACAAACTTTACTATAGATAACTTCATTATAAATATTGATTCATGTCTACTATCTATTGGATGAAGTTTGATCTGGGGGTTGATTGTCTATCTTGAAACAAGATAAAAAGAATAAAGTGAGCGAATTTATTGGAATACTTATAATTCTATTAATCAACATTTAGTTAACATCTTTGCTCACTTTATAACTTTTCTCGTTTTAAAATACACAATTAATCGACCTTCTGATGCGGAATTTAGCTTCCCGTTTGTACCTGACGTAAATGCTCATCGTTCCCTCGATTGCCGTCGTCCACCACTGCCGCCGCCAGGGTGTCGAGTGACGTCGAGATTCGACGGTTGGGTAATCGCGCGTAGTGGAACACCACGACGGTCAGGAACACAGTGAACGCCGCCAGAAGGAGGAACTTAACCAGGCTGATTACGTTTCGCCTCATCTTCGCGAGAGGATCATGTCTCGCGAGCCTCCCTAACGAAGACTACGGGTACAATGCTCGTATTCATAGTCAGGCCTTATATTTAAGGTTTCCTTAAATTTATCTTCAGTTGCGCTCTATGAATTATTTTACTGGCTACCGAGCATCTAAAGATAAATTTAAGGAAGGTCTTAAATATAAGGTCTGACCGGTCTGATTATAAATATAGACATTAACCTCACCTCTTATGACTTATCTCGTCGCGTGAACGTGGCAGACGCAGGAGGGTCTCGCAGCGTGAATAGACGGATGCGTTGTCCGTCATCGCCGCTGCGCGGCGACCGGGAGATCTCGAGTAACGAGTTGTATCTATTGACTTTACTCGACTGTACTCGACTAATTCGACTCCCGCCTGACGATCCGGCGAAAGCATAAAGGATCGATGCAACAAACGACACGCACGACTGCCATGAACTGCCACTTGCTGCAAGTTGCAATTGCTGCACGATGACCGATATATTAGAGGGGTGGGAGATTACCTTCGTGAGAGAGAAACTTCGCCAAGGAAACTTGTTTTTTTCTATCCGCCCGCGCGATCTCGCCTATCCGCCCATCTCTTGCCGCTTGTGCGAACTTAACGATTCTTCGATTAGCATTGATCGAAATTTTAATTGTTCTTGCATAATCCTATGCACAAATGTAAATTTTTTTTAAATAAGAAATAATAAGAATATGAATTTTAAGAAGATCATTTATATAAGTGTATAGTCTTTTGCTAAAAAGAAATAACTTCGATGAAATGATTAATTTAATTGATTGTTAATTCAACTGATGAAATAATCGCTCGAAGAAAAATTTCTAATTACTATATAATTTATTACCTTTTAGTTTTTTTTTCATTGCTTCGAGCAAAAATGTATACTTCTATTGTTACAAAAAATTATTCATTAATTGAATTAATTGGCAATTAATTTAATCAACAGAATTATTTACATATTTCGTTTTTTTTAAACCACAATTTAAGTTACAATTCAAGCTAACAAAATATTGCTGACATTGTTTTGTAAAACTGTAATTATCAATTAACTTAATTGTATTTAATTTTATTGGCGGAATTGCTTGCCTCTCTAACTATTCTCTGATCCTTTTTTTCATGTTTCAAGCAGCAAAAATGAATAATTTTATTTTCATGCTTATAAAAGATGAATACCATATAATATATATATAATATAATTGCAGTTTAAAATTAATTTTCGATTAATTATAAGTTAACTGAAGTCGAAGTCATCTTCGAGGAAGATCCAAACCTTTGATATTGTTTGTTTAAAATTATTTCTAAAGTTGAATTTTGAAAAGTTAACTTTGATTAGAAATGTCGTTGTTAATTGGATATAATCTTATTAATTTTACCTTGATTTAGTTTCTACAACGGTAATTTGCGACGTCACATCGCTCTGTATTTTTTGCTATTGAAATTATAGCGCGTTATATCGTTGCACTATTCCAACTATAATACTAGTATTGTAAATCTCGATTTCACCTGTAAGATTACGTCATGCGACCTGTTTTTGCAACATGCGTAACCTATCATTATCTGTATTATTCGTAACTCATGCAGCAGATCTTGTGAAAGATACATATGGAAGTAACAATTAAACGTACGCAATTCTTTTGTATTGTATTATTTTCGTCGTGACATCATTTTTGTTAAAAGATATAAGACGTTTAAAAATTTTATGTAATTGTTAATTAATTTTGATCCTTCTTTCGACAATTTAAAATCATACATATAAAATATGTGTACTAATTAAATAGTTGACATACATTTTGACGAGACATTTAATAGCACTATTTTATTAATATGTGTCTAATAATACATATCAGTGTATTATAATTTATTATAATATACGCGGATAGAACTATTAGGCTAATTCTACAATGTGTTCTTTGTTTCCTGTTTCTTGCTGTTTGTCTCTGTTTGTCTCTTGCCTTTTTGGTCAATAAGACAAGAGACAGAAATAAACAGCAAGAAATAGGAAACAAAAAGCACGTTGTAGAATTAGTCTTAGTGTTTTGTTGTTCAATATATGGAAGAAATATTAGCTTAAGAATAATGAATTATAATTTATTATAGTTAGAAATTTTTTGCTTTAAGCTTCTGCTGGTTCATTTAATCATTTAAATTTTCATATATACACACACATACACACGCACGCACGTACGCACGTACGCACGTACGCACGCACACATACATAAACTTATTAATCGATTAATGCCCATTTCCACCAATGTAGATTAACTTTAATCTCGGTTCAACTTACTCTTCGTCTTTTTCTAGTTCTAAAGATTAGAAAAAGACAATAATTCAACCAGCAGATCACTTAAAGTAAAATTTCTGAATTGAATGAAATTATTCGGATATTTTTATTATATATATAATAAATATATACAATTATGTGTATATATATATGTATGTATATATAATAAGATATTTGGACAGTTTTATTCAATTAATTATAGATACATTATTTAAATTTTTTTTACTACAAATAGTTTTGTCACTTTTATCTATTTATAGCTGCTCAAGCAGCAGGAACAATTTTCACTCTTTCGACAATAGCCACGAGCAGTATAGAGGAAGTGGCAGAAGCTGCACCGAAGGGTATAAAGTGGCTCCAGCTCTATGTTTATACTGATAGGAATATTACCTTAAATTTGATAAGACGCGCCGAACGTGCTGGTTTCAAAGCACTGGTTCTCACCATCGATGCGCCAATTTTTGGTGATCGACGCGCCGATTTGAGAAACAAATTTTCACTGCCTAATCATTTGAGGTAGGCATGTAGAGGTGTATAGAAAATAGTGAATATGCTTAAATAAAGTAAATGTACTTATATAAAAATACATAGATGAACAGATGAGTTAATAAATTGCTGTTAAGAATAATATAATAATTAACTGTAAAGAATACAAAGAGATAATTAACGGCAGCATTTGTAAGAGTTCTATGTATAAAATAAAAAAAAAGTATTTTTCATTTTTTATTTTTCAAAGCTAATTCAAGAAAAGATTATTTTTCTATATGTGTGTATGTGTGTGTGTGTGTTTATAAATACAAAAAATTAGTTAACTTTATGAATTTAAAATAGATAATAGACACATGTGAGAGAGAGAGAGAGAGAGAGAGAGAGAGAGAGAAATAGATACCTAGTCAATCCCTACATTATGTATTTTAAATTTAAATGAAATTTATAATATGGTAAAAAGAATTTTATATTTTTGCTTTAGATTCGCAAATTTCCAAGGTGATTTATCGAAACGAATAAATTCAACGAAAACTGGCTCTGGTCTTAACGAATATGTTACTGCACTGTTCGATACATCTCTTTCCTGGGATGACGTAAAATGGCTTAAAAGGTATCTACATATCATTGTTTGTGAACTTCCTTATCTTGACATTTTGGAGCAGTAATGCCCGTATTTACAGTCAGGCCTTATATTTAAGGCTTCCTTAAATTTATCTTCAGATGCTCTACGAATTATTTTATTGGCTATTGAGCATCTAAAAATAAATTTAAGGAAGCCTTAAGTACAAGGTCTGACTATATGAATCTTTTACCATATAGCGAGCAAATCAAATATCGATTTGAATCAAATTTGTCGTAGAATTACAACACTACCGGTAATTCTTAAAGGAATATTAACAGTAGAGGATGCATGTTTAGCCGTGGAAAATGGGGCTGATGCCATCATAGTATCAAATCATGGTGCGCGTCAGATAGATAGTGTTCCAGCAACGGTTGGTTCATTTCTTGTTTAAACAGCTTTCGATATTGAAAATTTAAAGTATTAGACAATCATTTAGAAGATTATATAGTATTATATATACGGTACGTGAATTATTGAAATAATTGTATTCACAGATCGAAGTTTTACCTGAAATAAGCAAAGCCATAGGAGATAAAATTGAAATCTATATGGATGGTGGAGTGATGCAAGGCATTGACGTGTTCAAAGCATTGGCATTGGGTGCAAAAATGGTATTCATTGAACATATATATATATATATATATATATATATATATATATATATATATATACATACGCACACACACTATAATAAAATATTATAGATATGTAAATAGTTTGTCCAAATTTAGTTGATCGTGTTTTTTTTTGCAGGTATTTATTGGCAGACCGATGCTATGGGGCTTGGCATATAATGGCGAGAAAGGTGCTTACGAGATTCTTGAACTTATGAGAAAAGAAATTGATTCTGCATTCGCATTAACTGGTAAAATAATGCATATATTTTTACATTAATGTTTTATTGATTATATTAATTTAGAAATATTTCAAATCAATGTTTCTTTTAGGTTGCAAGTCCGTAAAAGATATTACACGGGATATGGTAATTCATGCATCTTACTATAGCCATCTATAAATTAATTTTACATCAGACGTAGTTACAGATATGTACAAATATGGAGCGAGAGTCGTTTGACTACTTTGTAATTGATCACAAGCCACTCATACAGTTTGTCTCGAAAAAACTAGGCACTAGAATAATTGTGGTCAATCGCAACATGGTCAAACGGAACGTTACCACAAATACATATGTACATATGTTCAAAGGATATCGACATAAAATTTTTAGTTTTACTGATGATTTTTTGTTACTAAGAATGTATTTGTTAAGATTGTATTTCAGAAAATTATTAATTATTTGTTTCACTTTTATATATTTTCTGTAAAGTAAATATTAAATATGTATATAATGCACATTACTCTCTTAAGTATATTAATTTACTTTTTTTTTTAGTATTAGACTTATAAGCTTAAATAAAACTCTTGTATAATTTTAAGGTTTGCAATAATGTATTATAAAAACTTTCACATTTGTATTGTATATATCAGTTTTATTGTTCCCAAAACGGGTTACAATTCACTTCATATTTTTTTTTTTAATTCTTTAAGCAATCTCTTGTAAATCGAAACATAAGATACGGATTGGGATCTCTCACTAATTATAAGTCGCTTTTATATAGTTACGCGTTACTTTGTACTGCATTCGTCCAAATTAGTCATTATTTGATTAAATGGACTTCAACAACTAATCACATTGCATTTTATATTGTGCATGTTATTTATACAATAGATATAGTTGATACAATAGATTTTAACATTTCCTAATCTTAAAGAATCGCTTTTAAGATACAGAGAGATACTTAAATCGTTACATCTTTTTCTTTTGATAAATGACATAAAATTTTGAAATTTTGTTTATTTAAAACGAGAATGAACTTTTATGAAAAAATTTGAAGTATTTTTGATATACTAATGTCAAATAATTATATGATATAAGTAAATATAAAAAAAAAATAATAGAAAAAATTAAGGAATATTAGTACTTTAGAATATTAATAAAATTTGTTATATAAGTAAATTATAATCACTAATACCACATATTGTAGCTAGATTCTGCTATGCATTATTAGATGTACTTTTCAAATCATAAATTAATTTTAATAAATTGCTACGTTTTTTCGAAACCATTTCTGGAATGATACTACAATCACAATCGCTTACTTTAGAATTTTTTATAGCATGTCTAGATATTATATCTGCTAAACATAAAACATATAAACCGCAATCGTAGTTATTATTTTGTTGCGGACAATCCATTTCAATATATTTTCTCTCCTGTTTCTCAAGAAAATATTTTGTCACTTTCCGTGCAAGCTTTTTCGCGGAGAAGCCATTAATACCGCTTGACGAATCGAAGTGATAACACATTTTTTCCATACGAGAATATACTAATAAACTCCAATGCGAACCACCTGCCTCGTTGCTATCACAGTCATTAAGAGGGAAGAATATAAAATCATAATTTGTAGCTTCAATAGGATCTAGAAATATATTATATTGTGAAGAATCCTGCATCTTTAATAACTGAGCTACTTCAGGCCCGATAAATAATAACTGGCTTTTATTATCCTTCCTATATTGTTGATTCAGATATTCGAAATAGAATCCTATTATAATGTCATTAAGCCAGTCATTTCTCTCCAGTAATGCAACATCCGATGTTCTGAGTAAGTAGTCATGATAACTTAACACAATATCATTCTTGTATGGATTCGTCGGATGAGCATCATGGGATAAGTGCTTTGAATTTGCAGGCAAAACCGGCATGGTACTAAAATCAGAGAAATATAAAATTTAATGTACATATTTATCTGGAAAAATGTAACGATAATAAATAAACTTGAATATTTTATTCTGAAATAAAGAAATTTATTTATCCTCAAACTTATATATATCATAATAAATAAAACATTAAGCAAAGTACGCTAGCAATTCACTAGAAGATTCAAACAAAATACATATTGTGGGAAATTGATATCTATGTATATATATTCTGTTTCACGCATGATGTATTATATATTCTTGTTATTTTGAATGTTAAAAAAGAACAAATGACATATTACGAACACTTGTATATTACAGTTTATGTTCTGCCAGAATAGTCTGATAGCAGATTGCCAACAGAATCTGTCATTCTATAATCGTTCAAATGGAATATTATTTTTTATTCAACATCGGTGACTTATGATTCATTCAATCCTGGGATATATTGCATAAAATAATTAAAACTTAAATTGTGACTGTTATTTATTATTCCCATATTAATTTTCAGATCTTTAATAAATCGATATTGATAAAATTTTCATTGTTTAAAACTTTAAAGGAGGCATTATATAATCTCGAAGAGAGATCGAAGATGCATACAATTCACTACTTAGATATATTTACAAAGAAACTTTGCAAGACTGACTGAGGCCACAGTCAAAGTCTCGCTACAAATACTTTGAAGCGTTTGATGGACCAATCAAAAAAAAGAATTTTATAAATTGACTAATATAAAAACGTTTTAAACCATTTGTAGCATCACATTGATCATATCCTGAATTATTCTCGATCCTTCTTTATTATATATTAAAAAAACCTTTCCGCACATAAATAAAACAGGAAAGGCAGTTTTTAAATTTCATTTTTGAGACTCTTGCAATGTATAGAGAATGTATGAACACTTTCGAAGATTACAATTAATAAATACCCATCAAATCTCGAGTAACTTGGCTATCGCCAGCTAATGATTACGAAATGATTCTATACTCGATTCATACAATCTATCTATTATCATATTTTACACAGATCCTGTTATATTTCTGCTGGTATTTTACCAAAATAATTTATATCAAACAACTTTACAAAACATGCTTCAACAGATCTGGGTATATACGTGTGGCAAAATGCGTGAATCAAAATGAATAAAGTTACAGAGGAGATAGTCACAAGTGCTCGTTTCTTCTTCCGTTATGGATGCTTGTCCCGTTTGGATTGTACTATCTTTTCTTCTTTCACCTTTTTTTTTCTAGAAATACGTATCCTCTGTGTGAATTATTTATATTTTCTTCTGTATATAAGATATAACGCGTGTTGTCGAGTATCATGACGGTGTTTTTAGAACTGTATACATTTTGACGTCATGGCTTTGATGGCTGCCTCTCTTATCACGTGATCATGGATTTGATACGATATTTAAACACTCGTTAGAAAACTATTTTCGATTTTCCTGTTATTTTGTACATATGTTCATGTATTCTCATACGTAGAATTTATTTCGAGTAGAAAAATCATCTTGCGTAAATTTTTTTTTTAATTTTTAAGTTTTGTCGGTAAGTTAGAAAATCATAATTTTCTACTTATTCTTTACTTTAATCAAAAACACTAATTATTTATCAGTATCTATTAATTTTAATCTTAGTTTCATACTTTACCTATTTTTTAAATAATTCTTAAAACAAAAAGATAAAAAACAAGTTAAACTGAAATTAAATTGGTACAAAATAAACATAAAACTGGAAGAAACTTAATCGTTGATTAAGTTTCGTTAAAGTTAAGTTTTGCCGAAATCACTTTAATAAGATTCTTTTAAATATAAAAAGTGAATCGCGCTTTGCGACGTACATAAAATATATATTTATTAAATATTTATGTGCAAAAGTTTAATTTTTTTTTCCTTATACAAAATATATACATTCTTTAGAAAAATATTATTTTATAATAATTCATCACAGTTTTCTTATTTTTAAAACAATCTCTTCGTACTACATTTCTTCACCATATAAATAAGCGTTTAGTGACTAAAATATCGCAATTTGGTTAATTAGTTATTGATAAGATTGTTTTAAATATAATGATTTGTTCAATGAAAAGTAGCGTGTTTTACAATTTTTAATCACAACAATATTTTAGGAAAAAGAGACTAAAGGTGTAGATAATGAACCTAATAAAGCTTGCTGAGAACAACAAGTTCAATAGTGATTATACACGTATATACTGCCATTATACATATACTGTCTTTTTAACATTTCGTTAGATACATAATGGGACCCTGTAAATCTACAAAAATATCGGCCAATCTCGTTGTGCTCAATCAATCTTGGTGGACATGTCTTTAAAAAGTCTAAAATAGAAAAATATTTTTAAATCGCACTTATACGCATATAAATGACATCATAAAAGTACATGTATATACACAAGCACATCTAGTAATCTGTTTGTACCTTCGGGATAATATATACTTCCACGTTCACAGAGGACAAGGTAAAATGTTTGTGAAGGATTAAGGTTAAATCCTTCAATCAGATCATGTATATACATAGGTACACGACAAGTCGTTTCGACTATTCCAAACCAACCAATAATCACGCCTGGAAGAGCATACGTGATTGATAGATTGGAAGTCACTATCATTCCAATTGCATACTTTATATTATGTCCTGTCTTTAAGTCTACTTGCAATCTATTTTCAAGTGGCTGAAATTGTAGGTCTCTCACAATGTTAACTAACATCTTTTTTATATATTTATTACTTCGTAAACTTTTACTGTTTTCAAATTAGTTTTCATATTCAAGTTGCAATTATTAGTTATATTAATAATTAATATGATATTTTAATCAATTCATGAAATGAACTGATCCATTGATTCATTCAGTATAACTGCAGTGAGTATTAACATATTACGCACTATATCTAAAGCTCACTTTATACAATTTATAATTCATGACAAAATTTTATTTATAAATTTTAAGCATCGAGTAATACAGAAAATATGTAAATTATCAGAATCATAATTATAATGTTTTATTTTTAGAAATAAAAAAAGATATTAAATATAGTGTAAGTATACCTGTGATTGATCAATTGTATCTGCTGTAATGAAAATTGAAAATTTCTAAGCACTTATATATGTATAAGTCGTCTTGTCGAATAAACAAACGAATTTTATCAATATAAATATAAATGAAAAACTTTTTTTTAATACAAGAATTTCTTTCTCATTTATAATTATATTTATAATTTCATATATAAAATTAGAAATAGAATTATGTCACGAAGTATAAAGTAGGCTTTATATATGTAAATTGCATATTTTTCATTATAAATTATCATAAATACATACATATTTTTTCCGCATATAACGTTTAAATTTAATTAGCAGTCTTTTAGCTTGAATTACTTCCAGAGATGTTCTGTTACTTTCCTGCGTATATAGAAAAACAAAGTTTACTTCAAAACACTTTCTGTACAGTTGTTTATTAATGTACAAATATATGAAAATTATTGTATCATAGCTCAAAGTTTGCTTATACAACAAATATATAAGAAATTTAAAAAAATTTTATTTTTTTCATATTAGCAATCATTCTTATATTTTATTATTAGGTGTTGGAATTAATTCGTAGCGTTTTACAAGTGATGGGAAGTACTTTCATTAATGTATTTTTTAATGCTCATGTGAAATAAATAACATTCTTTCATTAAAAAACGCTACGAATTAATTCCAACACCTAATATATTATCTATTAAACAATCAATTCTTATCGTATTGCGAAAAAAACAAGTTTGCAAAAAAAAGAGAAATTTTATGAGAATGTGATTTATATATAAATTAAATTTACATACCAGTATCTTTTGTAGTGAGATTAGGAGACCTGATAAATTCATTTTATTTTGCATATAAAAATGACCTAGTGCTCGAATCTCGTCTATATCGTATGGGTTTATCATATAGCGGAATTCCATCAATGAGCGTTTTTGCAGAGTTCTATCTTGATAATGTTGGTAGTTAGGATTAACCATTTGTAAATGATAAATCATCCGTAACACGACCTTAAAACGAAAATGTATATAAACTAAGTTAGCAATGCAACAAATGGAAAGTTAATTTCTTCATATATAATTCTCTCTTACATATAACGTATGTTTTATTGATTTATTCCGTGTTGTTTATCTGTGACTAATCTATATTTTTACTACTTATTTTTAAATTTAATAAGATATATAAATAATGACCAACCTCTGTAGGACTAATCTCATTGTGTTTATTAAAATTTTTGATGGGACATCTTCTACCACGAGTTTTGGGACAATCGTTTCTACCCACAATAGCTCCACCATGCAAGATGTCAATATAGAAATATTCTTCATCTTCAGATTTTTCTGTAATACTGTAGACAATAAAAAAAGAATATGTAGTTCACATATGCATGTATTCATTTATATAGATATATATGCCTATATGATATATGCGCAAAATGTCTTACAAATCTTGAACATGTTTCTGGACAAAAATATAGAACAAATGTTCCTATAAACTAGTTCGTAAATGCTTCATTGTTGAAATAATGGATACAAATACGGTAATATCAAATGACACTTGAAATTTTTCAAAATTATTTTGTTTATAAGAAATAGTGTTTTTCATCATTTTCCATATATCCCTGAGGTGGACGTACACATGACTGGCGCATTACTTCAAATATTTTTATCTGTTATTTTGAAACATTTGCGACTTTGTGTTCATAGAAATATTTGTTCTTTTTTTTTATTTAGGAATATGGTCACAAAATTTTAAAACATATTTATGATTTATGATTTATTTTGTATCAATATGTAAATATATGATAAGTCTGATAAATTAAATGCTTCTAAATTATACTTACGATTTTGGTTTCCAACTTAAAAAGAAGTGAGTAGGAAATGCTACTAGATCACAGCGTACGCCAAGTCTCCTTGCTATACTCTGGAATATTATTGCCAGAGATACTGCATCACCAACTTTGTTTTCTAAAACCTAAGTATTACAAATTACATTACTCTGTGTGTGTGTGTGTGTGTGTGTGCGCGCACGCGCGCGCGCGTGAGTGTGTAAAAGAATGTCCTAGACTTTGCGATGCCCATTAATAGCAGATTCTTGAGATAATTTCGAGATGAAAATCCTAACACTAAAATATTAAGATTACAGTAGTTTTTAAATGAAAAGAATTTAAATCCAGCCAACAGAACTTGAAATTCATGTGATCAGGCATGGCACATCGTACAGTAGTAAAGTTGTTTAGAAAGGTAAAACAGAATTGATGTTTGAAAATATCTTAACTGTTGTACAACGTGCTATGCCTAATGCGAATTTCGAACAGTTAAATTGGCTAAATTTAAATTCTTTTCATTTAAAAATTGTTGTCTCGACATTTTGATATTAGAATTTTCGTCTTGAAATGATTTCTGGTGAAAAATCTGCTAATGGATGTTACGTGAAATTTGGGACATCCTGTATATATAGAAAGATATTGACACTTTACATTTTTATAATAACGTAACAATATACATAATAATATAAATAACAAAATATGAATATAAAAATGTGCTTATGATGTAATTGTAATATATCATCTATAATATTGTAATATATCAATAATCTATATCTTACGCAATCTATAAGAATGTCCTCCAGTTTATATAAAAGGTCTGAAGCTAAAGCTCCAGAGAAACCTAATTCATCAAATAAAACTGTTTGAAGCATATTTATTATCTGTTTTTCTTCCTCTTTGCTCCATTGATTGTCGTTAACGTTGTTATTTTTCCAAAAAGAAAATTGCTTTGCGGACGTTGAGAATATCGGATGGTCACAATATACCTTTTTAAGACGCTTTAATACCAATTGTGCAATATTATCTAGCGATGCTTCTATATCAAAATAAAAGATATGTTTTTGAGGTTGATACCATTGTGCTACAATAGTAGCTGCCTTTTCTAGAAGTTGCTGTTCTTTGGGATAACTTATAAATTCCTGCCATACATCCTTTGTATGACGCTGTTGTAAATATTGAAGAAGTATTTTGCTGTAATATTTATGTGTTAAATTACAATCAGGTAATCTGAAAAATACATGTACATTAATTGTACAATTAATCCATACATGTCTACAATATTAATAATTTAATAAATCTTACAGTGGCGACATTGTAATCAGATGCATCATTTCATCCTTAAGAAAATAGTAATTCATACTGTGAGCGCCCATATTTGGACAGAATAGTGCATCGAAATATTCCAAGTCACTTTCGGAAAAATTGTCCTTTTGAAAGAATCTCTCGGACATTAGCGACAAGTGACTCCGTAATTTATTTCTACATGTTATGCTTGCTTTTACATCATCTTTAAAATTTATGCATTTTTTTTGTATCTTCAGTTTGTCATAAATTCTTTTCATGTTAGGCCATCTAGCATTAACCAGAAATACTTCGTTATTTTCAAAAATTTTAAGTAAGTCATTTATAGAATTTGCACATATCATTAAAAAATTATAAATTTAAAAAAAAGTTGTACAGAGTAACAATTAAAACTAAAACTAAAATTATTATTCTGTAATAAATAGTGCGAAATACATCAAATTTGTATACTCGTTATAAATAAATCTGTCATTATTCGTATTGAATATAAAATTCATTATTTTATTTGTATTCATTGTAGATAAAATTCTTTATTTCTATTAATTATTGCAAAAAGAATATTTTAATCATATAAAAACAATTACAATTCAGAATCTATGTTTAGCTTTTAAAAGAACCGTTCACTATGCAAATTCAGAGTTCATTTGCATTCATTTGCATGCATTTTTCAGTTATTTAAAAAATGTATAATCACTAAATTATTAAAATTTAAATAAGAGATTTAAATTTAAATAATTCAGATAAGGCTAATGAGAATCATAAAATTCTCTCTCTGTTGTAAGAGTAAAGAGATAAGAGAAGCAGATAATCCTCAGGTGTTGCTGATTATCTTCAATTTATTTCGAACATTTCAGCTCCTTTTGGAATCTTCTTTAGCCAATACACAATCATCAGATCTTTCATTGAGAACAAGCTCAAAAGGAGCTGAAACGTTCGAAATAAATTGAAGATAACCATCAACATCTGAGGATTATTATCTGCTTTTCCTATCTCTCCATTCTTACAACAACGTATGACTCTCATTAGTTTTATCTGAACTCTTATTTATATTTTATTGTTTAAGATTGAGAGTCCTTATTTACATTTTATATTTATATATTTATTTGAATTATTTCATTAAATTATTAAAATCAACCAAATTATCTGTCCTTGATTACATGACCGTTATTCAGAAGAAAAAACTTTGCAACTGTTGTAAGATTCTTTAATATAATTAATCTTGCCCTTAATTCTTCACTCGATCTGAATGTATAAACCAATCATATTACAGAATCTCCAACTATTGTAAAGCAGTAAATATTAAACTTCTAATTTCAACATTTATTTCTTCTTTTTGTGGAAAATTTCCTATTTATTTCCTTGATAAACTCTTTGAAATGGTTCCTATAAACGAGAATGGATTGAAATGGATTAAAATAAATTCACATTCGAAAAAGTATGTATTTGCAAACATTGAAATAAATTCTTTTTAATCCCAATGCATTCTTATTTATTTATGGAAATTGCATGAAGCACATTTCTATGCTTTTCAAAATAAATAAAAATTTCAGTTCTTTAAGTATATTATGAGAGAATACAGTTTAATTCAAAATTCTGAAATGTAATTTTTTAACTCAATTAAACAAGTTTTTGCATCTAAATGAAGCTAAAAAATCCATTTGAATGATACTAAAAGTATGCATTCAAATGGATTTAAATGGATTAAAATTTCAGTTTATTTTAATGCATTCTTGTTTACACAGTGCGATAAGTTAAAGTAGACAAACATATCAGGATTCAGTTTCACTTCATCTTATTGCAACATGTGCACCAGTTCAGAAAGTTCATCGATAACAACTTTCTCATTTCGTTTTTTTTTTTTGTAAAATAGGACAAACGTTATGGGCTTTCTATAATAAGCCATTAGTCATAAATCAGAAGTCAAAAGCTAAAAATTGATGACTGTGATTGGTCAATTTTTACTATTTTCAGCTTTTGATTTCTAATTTATGACTAATGGTTTATTGTAGAATTAACATTAAACTGTTAATCATTCGTTTTTAACTTTATCTTAATCTTAATTTTTATTTGTTTATTAAATATGAAATATCGGAGTTGTTGTATTCTTGAAGACAAAATAATAATAACAAAATAATTGGAAAACGAAAAACGCCAAATATTTAATCTCTCCGAACATATTCATAAAAAAAGTTATGATCATTTAAAACAAACACAAGAAATCAAGTGTCAACATGAAGAAAATCGATTATGTAAATATCAACATTTTTGTTCGACTCTGATTCTCATTGAACTCTTATGTCAAATAAAGCGTCAGATAATTCGAAACAGCTCGAAATATTAACTAGTCGTACGAAATTCACGAATAATCAATTTCAAATACAATTTCAAATACAAATTGACATATTCGTTGGGTTCGCATTCGTCATTTTACCATTTGTGCCAATTTGCCAGAGAAAGTTTTTTGATAAAATTAAAAGATATAAATTGCGCAGTTTTAGACAAACTTATCTAAGTAAATCGTGATGAGAATTTCAAGAGAATGACGAAGTTACCTTTTATAAAGTTTTATTTGCCATAGCGTGTTGTTGTGAATTACGTTGAGAAATTGTCGGCATGTTAAACCGAAGTTCAAAACATCCTTGAAGCTAATATCTTCTTGTTGTAAGATGATGTAGATTACCTCATTGGACAGATTCTTTATCGTCGCCATTGCAAACAATTCGACATGTAAGAAATTATAATCCGCATCAAAACCGCAATGGATGTGTCGTCTTTTTCTTCTCAAGAACTTCCACTTCTGTTCTATATCTAAAGCAGTGTTGCCAACCTCCGCATTCTTAAGCCGGAAACACAATAGATCTGTGGTCAGTTTCCTGTTCCTGCATCTCTCTGGTTCTAGAATTCTCTTTCTCGCTTTAAACAAATATCAAACGTATCTATCTCACTTTAAGTTCCAAAAGTGTACACTAATTCAGCCACAGAAAACCGATCTCTGTTCGCGTTGCTTGCACTTTTGGCACTCGACATCTTTGCTTTCTCTCTTTTCAAGGCAAAATACAATATATTGTATATCAATCTCATTTTAAGTGCAAAAATATTTGGAGATTTCATGCAACGCGAACCGAATTAATAAAAAGCACAGACAATAGAAAGAAGGAATAAAGAGGTTTCAACCTATCAAAAAGCGTTCATTCTAGTATACATGATTTCTGATAGGTTGAAATTTGTTATTTCCTGTTCACATTGCTTCCTACGCTTTTCATTTGTGTTTCCAGCTATAAGCTTATAGAATTGACTAATCACAGTTGAGTATTCCCCTCTCATTCGATTATAAAAGGGGAACCATCCCTCTACGTGTAACTGCACGCATGCGCAGAAACACGCATACTCAATTCAATGGTAGATATACGTATATTTTAGGCGGAAACAAGTATATTGTGCGTGGTGTATCGACGCATCTTATAATATCTCACGATTCTCTCGGTGTTATCGCTGATTTTGCGAGTATCTGATATTGTTGATAATTCGGTTAATAAGTATACGACGAGTACGTGTGTTGCATTAGTAACATCGTTATCAGTTACTACGAAGCCGTAACTGTGAAGTAGAAAAGATAAAACGATAGCTTAAATCGAGAACGCTAACATGGGCTCCAACAAACGTCACAAAACTGAAAAATCTCGCGATACCAAAAAGAAGCGTCATCGCAGTCGCTCCAGAAGCTACACGCCCGATCGCGAAAAGTCAGAGAAGCATAGGCATCATAAGAAACACAGGAGAAAAGAACGCAAAGACTACGATAGCGATGGTAAGAGAATTTGACACAGTGTGTATAGAATATATATACACACACATATATATGTATATATATATATATATATACATATATATATATATATATATATGTATATATATAAGAGATTATATGTAACTATAAGAAATACAAGTATATTTACGTATAATCATAATAGTTAATTATATTTATAATTATAGAAGAAAAAGAATTTTTAACTTTCAGTTGAAATTGTTAATGCTCCGCCGCCACCAAAAATATCTAAATCATCGCATCCGTCGACACCTCCTCCACCTGAAATCTCGAAACAGCGTAGTCCATCCCCTGCTAAAGGTGGAGCGTCGCAAACCTCATTATCTATCGAAGAAACTAACAAAATTCGTGCAAAATTAGGATTAAAACCATTGGAAGTAGATAATACATCTAAAGATGATCCTAGCAAAATTAAAGATGATCTGGGCGAATTTTATCATAAACCTGCACCAAACAATAGTGATAAGATAAAAGCACAGAAATTGAGAGAAAAGATAGGTACTCAGAAGGAAAAGAGACAAATTGAGGCAAATTTGTCAAAAATGAAAAGTTTGGGTGAAATTGATTCGGATGATGATACTCAAGTATGGATCAACAAATCTAGGCAGCTAGAGGAAGAGAAGAAAAAAGCAGAAATGAGAGTAATAAAATTTAGCATCTTTATTCTTATTAGCATCTTGTGTTGAATATTATATA